CCTTTAATTCCTCTTTTCGACCTTTTCTTCCTCCCTCCCTTTCTATATATCTCCCCCCCTTTGCGTCATTCTTCCAGCAACAATTGGGGGTTGCTGTGAATCGCGTGGAAGCTCCCGCTTTTCTTTTTCGCCCCCGCCTGGAACGTGGGCCACTTCCAACACCTTTTTCCCCCTCCTTGCGATTTCGAGACCCTTCCCCCTATTTCCTCTGGAATAATTATAGGTAAATCGTCCGCAAGCTGTATTGTTATGAAAATGCTGACCTCTCTAGGTTGATTGTCTTTTTTCTTTATCTGTTCTCAATTCCAGTTGCCCGCCATGGCTGGAAAAATGACGTTGTACAAGCTGGTGGTGTTGGGAGACGGAGGTGTTGGAAAGACCGCCCTTACCATTCAGGTTGGTCGAACCCTTGACATCTCAAGCGACGAATCCAACTAAACCTGCTACTTCTAGTTGTGCCTTAACCACTTTGTCGAAACATACGATCCAACCATCGAGGATTCATATCGCAAACAAGTCGTCATCGATCAACAGTCGTGTATGCTCGAGGTGCTGGACACAGCGGGCCAGGAAGAATATACCGCCCTACGAGACCAGTGGATCCGGGATGGCGAGGGTTTCGTCTTGGTGTATAGCATCACCTCGCGCGCCTCCTTCTCCCGTATCACAAAATTCTACAACCAAATTAAGATGGTCAAGGAATCGTCCAGCTCCGGTTCCCCCTCCGGTCCCAGCTATTTGAACTCGCCTATGAACGCCTCATCGGGTCCCGCAATGCCCGTCCCCGTTATGTTAGTCGGCAATAAGAGCGACAAGGCCGTCGAGCGCGCAGTCTCAGCACAGGAAGGCCAAGCATTGGCCAAGGAGCTGGGATGTGAGTTTGTCGAGGCATCCGCGAAGAACTGTATCAATGTGGAAAAGGCCTTCTACGACGTTGTCCGCATGCTGCGCCAACAGCGACAACAGGCGGCTGGTGGCCGTGGTGCAGACCGTCGCCCGACAGGCTTCGGATCGGGCCACCGCGATCGCGACGCAGGCCCCGAATATTCCAAGTCCTTCCGACCCGATCGGTCGCGGCATCGTAGTCGGCTCCAGTGTACTCTCTTGTGATCGGCCGGCTCCGTCCACGAGGCGTTGGATTTCTTGCTCACTGAAATAATGGCTGTTTCCTTCTCTTTTCTTTCTCTCTCTCTTCCTCTCTTCCTTTTTTGGTCCTGGGTGCATCTGGAGGGTTCTATCTTTTGGTTACCTCGTTCGGCGTCGGTGGTCCTTGCCATGCTACCCTTTTTACGCTCGCATTCTGAAGAGCTTGAGAACTGGCGTGGGGATAGAGGCCAGTGTTCTGCAAGCCTTGAGCGCAAGATTTCCTTTTTGTTTTGGCTTTTGTTTTGCTCTTTGGAAATGCGCCGAGGCATGCAGACTGGCTGTCTAGATTTCCACAAGCTCCCCTTATTCTTCCCCCTTGACGATCGTCTCTCTTCTTCGGTCTCTGCTTATTTGATAAGATGCGATCGGAGAAATCTTTCGGACACGCCTCGGAGCACTCCCGAAAGGGAAAAAAAAAGTTCAAAATCCCAGGCGACAAAGCCAGAAGATCGCAGTCGCACATTAGCAGGCATTTCGATATGATACCCTACGACTGAGCTTGTTTTATTTGATTCATTTTTTCAGCCATTTTTGCGATATAGACAATTGATAAAGTTGTTCTTGGTAATAGCTTGAAAAGAAAAGAGAATACGAAAGTACTACAAGTGTAGTACCTTGTTCTAGTGCATGAGGTATACTTGAGTACACACTAAGTACACCATAAGTACACTCTAAAGTACTTACAAACTGAGTACAATCTGGGTACAAACTATGTACAAACTATGTACAAACTATGTACACAACTGGGTACACACTGGGTACCAAAAGAAAGTGCGGGGAAGAGAAGCACGGACTCGCCCTGCATCCGGGGGAATCTCTCACTTTGGGACAGTTTCACCTCTCCTTTCTCCTCTCTCCTCCTCCTTTCTCCGCAAAGGGCGAACCCCTCAAATGTCTTTTGTCGATCCTGCAGGTCTTAACTTTTCCATCTCCCCGTGCCAATCGCACCTTCTTGGATCTGAAAGACCTCGGGTAGAAGCACTCCATATCAGAGCTCCAGAGTATTTCTGAGCAAATTCACTCTTTGTTTTGTGTAACTTGTTTCTCTCTCAGCTTTTTCTATAAAATCCCAAGGCAAATAAATTTGCTATTTCCCCTTTCATATCCATCCGGATCCCAAATCCAAATTCTATCCAACATGTCTCCGCACCCCCAAACAACAACCCACTCACATTCCCTTGGCGATCCAGAAACCTTTTGGTCGCATCACGCGGCTAGACTCCACTGGCACCGCAGGCCTTCACGTGCCCTTACACAGCAGACAAAATCCCTACCGAGCGGAACCAAACACGAGCATTGGTCGTGGTTCGCCGACGGCGAGATCTCCACAACCTACAATTGTGTTGACCGACATGTGCTCGCGGGCCATGGCGACAATGTTGCGATTGTATGGGAATCACCAGTTACAGGTGTAACGGAGAAGTATACTTATGCCCGCCTACTCGATGAGGTGGAGGTTCTTGCCGGTGTGCTTAGGGAGGAAGGAGTAGAAAAGGGCGATGTTGTTATTATTTACAGTAGGCAAACCAACAACTTTGTGATGACACCATGAGTGGGGAATGGATGAAAAGTAGGAATCCCAAACTGACCAGGTTATCACATCTAGTGCCAATGATCCCCGCAGCTTTAATAGCCGCGTTGGCAATAACCCGTTTAGGAGCAATCCACGCCGCCGTCTTCGGCGGCTTCGCCCCGCAAGCTCTAGCGCAGCGCATTGAGGCTGCACGCCCGAGAGCTATAATGACAGCGTCATGCGGAATAGAGGGGTCCAAGGCACCCATTTCCTACCGACCGCTTGTCGAGGGCGCCGTTAAGGCAAGCAGCTTCAAACCGACCAGGGTCATTGTCTGGCAGCGTGACCAACTGCGGTGGAATCATCCCGATAAGCGCGGTGGACAGCGTAATTGGCAGAGACTCGTTAAGAGTGCACGGTTCCGTGGGGTCAAGGCTGGACCTGTTCCCGTTAAGAGCACGGACGCACTTTATATTATTTATACAAGTGGTGAGTGAATCTTAGGAGCACATCTCGGCGACTAGTAAACCCGTTCTGTTCATACTAACATACCTCTACAGGGACAACTGGCCTCCCCAAAGGTGTCCTCCGCGAAGCAGGCGGGCACGCTGTGGGCCTGGAACTCTCCATAAAATCCCTACTTGGGATAAAAGGTCCCGGCGACACAATGTTCTGCGCATCAGACATAGGCTGGGTTGTCGGACACTCGTACATTCTCTATGCGCCGCTGCTAGTAGGCGCCACAACCGTGATGTTTGAAGGTAAGCCCGTCGGCACGCCAGACGCAGGGACGTTCTGGCGCATCGTCGAGAAACATAATGTAAATGCGCTCTTCACGGCCCCAACTGCCATGCGAGCTATCCGGAAAGATGACCCGGAGGACCAGCTTATTGGCGAGATCGGAAAGCGTGGAGGATTGAAATCTCTCCGTGCGCTTTTCCTCGCCGGTGAGCGTAGCGAGCCCAGTATTGTTAGCTCATACCAAGATCTCCTTGGTAAATATGCAGCGGATGGTGCGCTTGTTATTGATAACTGGTGGTCATCTGAATCCGGATCCCCGATTACGGGTGTTGCGTTGAATGGGAGCGCTGCCCTTGCTGGTCTGGCACCCGGACCAGATCATTCTCCCCTTACAACCCGTCCCGGTTCGGCAGGATTCCCAATGCCTGGGTTTGACGTCCGCATTGTCGACGACAAAGGCAGTGAAGTCCCGCGCGGCACAATGGGAAATATTGTTATGGCACCACCGCTCGCCCCGTCGGCATTCACGACCCTCTTCGAGGACGAGGAGCGGTTCTACCGTGGGTATCTTAAGCGGTTCAATGGCCGCTGGGTTGATACCGGTGATGCAGGGATGGTTGACAAGGATGGCTATGTGCATATTATGTCGCGAAGTGACGATATCATCAATGTTGCCGCGCATCGGTTTAGTACTGGTAAGGATATTCTTCGCTTCTCAGCGCTTTGACCTGAGGAATCCATGATCTGACTTATTCCGACAGGATCCATTGAACAAGCAATCCTCTCGCACCCATCGATCAGCGAAGCAAGCGTCGTAGGCATCCCCGACCCGCTGAAAGGCCACCTTCCCTTCGCATTCATCCAGCCCAAAGCTGGCGCGATCCCTGGAGAATCCGGGACCCTTCCGGCAACACCTAGTCCGCAGTTATTCGCCGAGATTAACGCGCTGGTTCGCGAGCAGATTGGGGCTATTGCGTCGCTAGGTGGGATTATACAGGGTCGGGGGATGATACCCAAAACGCGGAGTGGGAAGACGCTTAGACGTGTTCTTAGAGAACTTGTTGAGATTGGGGTGAAGGGGGAGTATACGGCAGAGGTTAGTGTACCGCCTACTGTTGAGGATGCGGAAGTTGTTTTTGTCGCGAGGGAGAGGGTTAAGGAGTATTTCGAGGAGAAGGCCAAGGCGAATAGGGTTGGGAAGCCGAAACTTTAGATGGGTGATAGATGCTTGGATGTGACCATGGCCATGTACTACACCTTGGAGTGGTCTTTTTGGATTGGCACTCAAAGGAAAGAAGATAGTGATAGACTAGTGCCTCAAGGCGTATGGGCTGATTGGATATTTCGGTCGAAGATGGGCATCAAGGGGATTTTTGGGGAAGAAGATATCAGGCTTCACTTCAGCATCTTGTCATCATAGTCAAACCGAAAAGATAATGTCTGAGCTTGTTTGGTTCGGCCTTTTGTTCCTAGTAACTACTTATGGAATAGAAGTATTTCATCTCGCATGAAACATGAATGTAGGTTAGGCCGCTATGCATCACTTTATATATGGCGATGGATCCGATGACCCAGTATCTAGTGGTTGTTCCCACCCTCTCTACAGAACCGGATTCCCAGCCACCTGTCGTTTCATGAAGCTAGTGAAGAATCGCGATATCTGCTCGTAGTCATCGACCTCGCCAACCCAGCTAACATACTGATCAGGGCGAATGATGACACTAACACCGCGGTTCGGATCAATTCCATAATTGGAATAAGCTTGACCATGTCCCTCGTGGTAAGACTCCTCATCGACGAAGACTTTCCAGTAATCCCATCCCATGTCACCAAGGTGGGGATGGAACGCCTCCGGAAGATCGAGAAGTTCGATATCTCTTCGTGGTCCAGAATGAACCGTCAATACCTCGATCACGCTATCGATGGGCTTGTCTGATGGTGTGAACTGGCGAATGAAGGAATCTGACCCTCCCAAAGAGGCGCCTAATTTTTCGAAACGTTCCATATTTTGGGGCTCGGTGAGTCGTCCAGGGAAAACTATCACTCGCCAGCGCCCGTTGCTCTTCAATAGCTCCTGTAGATGCCATGGGCGTGCATCGGCATGATTCAAAACTTTGAAGCTAGGTATACGTTTGCCGATATCAATCTTTGTAGCCAGCTCTGGCTTGCTGATGATTGCGTCGTGGCCTTGTTCTGCGACACCCGTTTGCTTCGCCACGAGGATACTGGCCTCATAGTTGACAGCTACAAAAATGGAATTAGTACTGGAGACTAGTGTCCTCGAGTAATGTAATACACTCACCTATGCCGCTTGCAAACTCGTTTCCTTTCTCAAAAGCCTTTTTGAATTCTTCCATACTGACACCCTCTTCATCCATGATATCCTTGGCCGGGCGACCAGAGAAAAGTCGCGAAAAGCGGTGATCGAAAGCGATCAGGTCCTGTGCGATCTGTTTCCGCTCAGACTCATACGTTTGGAGAATGGACGGTTCGCTAAGGCCATTTATCACATGCGCGAGCTTCCATCCCAGATTATACGCTATTCGAAATGGTGAGTGTTAAAGACCAAGCACGTCAGGATTCAAAAACTTACTATCCTGCATACTGACATTCATACCCTGTCCAGCCTTGGGAGAGTGCGTATGAACGGCATCACCTGCTAGGAATACACGATCGCTTTGTGAAAATTTGTCACTCACTCGCTGTCCAATCTGGTACGCAGTCCACCAGTCGCAGTACGCGTAATCGAGCTTATATGGGTGCACGATGCGCTGAGCAGATTTCAGGATGATCTCGGGAGTGATCCAGGACCGGTCAGCTTTGGAGCCATTCTTTTGGCAATCTGTCGCCTGAAGCTGGATATAGAGTCGAACCAGTTTATTCTCACGGGGAATTACCATCAAGCTACCCGCATCCGCAGAGTGAATGGCGCATCGATGGCGGATATCTGGGAAATCCGTAATGGGGACAATGTCGAGCACACCCCAGATATAATCGGTTGAGCCACCTTCCAAGCTAAAGCCAACCTGACGGCGCACCCATGAGTGGGCACCGTCACAACCGACCAGAAATTTAGCCTTGATATGCTCCACTTGGTCGGGGGTTTCTTTAGCCTCTGTCGCCTGGATGAGGTCCTCGGTGTCATCAGCAACCAAGTTACTTCGGAAAAGGCCATCCTCCACCACTGTGTGCTGACCATCAGAAGATTTCTGATGCTGCTGCCGTTGCAGAGGCGTGGATTCTTCCGCGGCCAAGGTACGAAGTTTAACACTGATAGGATAATCCTCGAAATCGGCTGCTTTTGCTTCGTCAAAATTGAACGATGTGGGCAACACACCGCGCTCAACATGGATGTCACTATGCTCCTTGATTGAATCGAGGAAGAACCGCTCGATGCGACCCTGGTGTAGCACGACCTGTTGGAAACGACTAATTCCCGGAATGGTATCGGGGATACGATCACTTCGTTGAAGACGGCCATTTTTGTTAGGATTCCAAAGACATATCTCCAACATATGGTTTGCCTCGCGCCATGCCCGGTGAGCAAAGTCAAAAGAGTCAAAGATTTCTAGGGTGCGACATTGTAGACCGTCCGCTTGTCCATTGAAGACCTACACTGAAGTCAGTATGGGATATGATAGTTCCTCATATTTGGACCAGAATGTACCTTTGAGTTACGCTTGTCCACTATACGGGTCTTGACTCCGCAGCGGCTTAGCCAGTTGGCTAGCATGAGCCCCGCTGGTCCAGCACCGACAATGAGAACATCCACATGGTCTTCTTTGGCTGGTGTATCAAGCATGATGAGATTTGGAATTTCAGATCAGAAGTGTGAATTCGATATATTTTTCCTCTTCCCTATTCTGAACGGCCTTTAAGAAGGAAGTCGGAGAAGGTGGGGGAAGCGTTTCGACTTCTCCAGGTTACCCCACGACCCACCCCGAGGCCGGTGGCGCAGAAAGTACGTTACTTGGCAAGACGGGACTTACCTAGTTACCTAGATAGTTAACTAGATAGTTAAGTAGATACCTAACTAGATACCTAGATATCTAGGTAATATGAAATATAGAGACATTCCCGCTTTTGAGAAACCGAAGAAAGCCTATATATGTCTTGGTTGACTTGGCTGGAGCGTAAATGGTAGATCATTAATCATTAGTTACTATAGACGTGTACCTAGGTAGTTAGTTAGTGACACAAATTGGATCATCGGTGATATATCCACGTGACATGAGTTTCACACTTAGTCTCCTCTCCATCTCCTCCATCTCCTCCACTTCGCTACCAGCCACTCATTTTGGGAGCAATTAAGGGGCCAAGGTAGCAAATTAAATAGTTGGTTGGAGGATATCATGGCGGGTACTAAATACTTTGATGAAGGTATATAGAATTTCTTATGGTCTTATGGTCTATTTAGACTAGCGGACTGATAGAGGAAGCGTAGCTAATTTGGCTGATTTCGGGACCCCCTCGATCTTAATAGAGGACCGGACCGGTACCCTTAATGATAATCGAATTTCTATTCACATTTGTGGCAGGAAAGCTGGAGAAGGGGAAGAATAGTTCATTGTTGCGACTAGCGACGGAGAAAAAGAGAGAATACCATCATTTGTGGTCGATTCGGGGCCTAAATCTCACTCGGTATATCCGCCGCACTGGTTTGCGGTTACAGATGCTCCAGCAAACCCCGTATCCTGACCCTGGGCTTTCTTGTCATAATGTGCCGACTTATCATTGGTTTGGTCTTCCGGATGGTGCTTCTGACTTGTCCGGGCCTGCGGTCGATATACATCGCGTAGAGAGACTTGTTCGGAAGAAAGGCGGTCATCAGTGAAGTATAGTTGTCGTAGTTCTTCAAGCAAGTTGCGAGTATTGGTATCGACGATAACAAAGAAACAGGAGCTTGAAAGGGCGGCAAAAGCACGACGAATAGAAGGGGGGCACCATGCCATTCTTTTGCAGTTGGGTAGGCTTTTTCAATCCCTGGGATTTCTCCGCTGTGGAGGAACTGTTTCAGAAACACCCGGCTATATTGTCCTCCAATTGCGGTAGGCGAGATCAGGTTCGAGTCGATCTCATGTTGCTTATAGTCTGCACTCGTCGGTACCTGCCGTGAAAGGGATGAAATAGGGACTCCAGTATCGGTTGCAAGCTGTTCTCGGCGGACACGGTCCCGACGTTCAAAATCAAAATACTGTATGTCTACCGGGAAAAAGGCATATCCAGGGTCGAGTGACATATTGAACTCCCTATAACAAGATCCACAAAGAGGGATTGAATTGGAAGTGTGTTCGTAATTGAACGTGAGCAGCCTAGCTTGCTCCCATACAGGAATCTAAATAAAGACTTATTGTTAGCTTAATGGTCCAAAAAATAGGATAGACTGGAGTCACCTAGGGGTCTGGTGGGCAACTATGCCACCCGACACATAACTCCCTTATTGCCAGGCAATAATTTAGATCAAGTACCATGTTGAATCTATAGTTATATACAATTAGCGTAGTACTTTATATAGGATTTTTATAAATGATTACTATATACTCCTAACTCTTAAGTCTTAACTCTTGATTTCTTACTATTTTACTATCTTAATCTGAACTGAACCTAAGTTAAATCTGGAGTGAATCTGAGGTGAATCTGAAGTGAAACTGAAGAAGATTGGCAGATCTCCTGGCCGCTAGTTTGGGGGTGGATGAATATAGGATGTGTAGACTGTTGTAGGTAATAACCAATGACAAAATTATGTGTCAGGTGGCATATTTAGCCCGTACACACCCAACACTTAGTACCGGCAATTTCGTAATGTCTCTACCTTGATTGCTGCGGAGAACAAGCCAGACGATGCAACGCTGGACGCTGATGACGAAGCTGCCATGGTACGAGCCGCCGATACAGAATGTGTAGAAGACGAGAAACGGCGAGAGGAGTTTGCATCAATATAGTGGGATGAAGACTTACATTGGGTCAAGAAACCCATGGTTCACCTAGTCTCTTACTACCATACCTATGTACCAGCGATAATCAATGGAAGAAACTCAGGCTTTAAGCAGGGCCAAGGACTGAAAAAAAGGGGGGAGGGAATAAAACATTGTGATCAGACCGACAGACCCCAGGCCTCTGGACCCTTTCTACGAAGAAATAGGGGTGTCGATTAGAACTGCTGACGTTGGCCCTTGTATTACAATTGCTTGGTTGGGTGACTCAAAGTCTGTTGTTGCTTGGATGGGAGAAGATATAAACGTCCACTTGGAGTGAGTTCTCCATGGTAACTTCGTGGAAAGCAGCGCAAGTGAATCGGTAAATGATGAGCTGTTTGGTCCTTTCAATTCTGATATTTATATTTAAAGACGGCTCCGCTAAGCGACTACAGGCGAATTTGAATTACTGATCATTTAGGATCATGACATCGTCCAATCCAATAAAGAAACCCATTTATTGAATGTTAGGATGGATGTTTAGGTTGAGATTTTGAATGTGACAAGGACGCCCTTGTGATCGGTGGGCCATTCGTTATCGGAATGGTCAGGCTGGGGCTTAGGGTCACCAACCATGTAAGTCTCGGACTTCTCGGGACTCAGGTTCCCCTTATAGTAGACAAAGTCGATGCGGTCCATGGGCTCCTTACGGCCATCATAATCATCGTTGTTAAGGTAGATGGGCGACCAAGTGTTGGCGGGGTCAACGGCAGGATCTGGATGGAGCTCGCGGTAGGCGTCGGCCAAGCCAGCATCAATAGGCACCTTGGATGTGGGCCAGTCAAACTGACCAATACCGCAGTGAGAGGTATTTGTCTCATCGGTCCAGTCGAGGTGAGAGGGCGCGTTAAAGTCGCCGGTCAGAAGCACGGGGACTTTGTCGGCGTTGTCGAGGGCGTCCGCCATAGCGCCGACAATTTCTTCAATCTGTCGGATACGGCTGGCCCTCTTCTCAGTGTCCATCATAACGTCGGCATCCTTTCCGGAGAAGCAAGGATCATAAGGCCCATAGGGGTAGGCGTAAGGGTGGCAGTTGTGGAGGATGACCTGATTATCGTCGCCGTCGAGAGCGACTCGCACCGCAGCACTGGTTTCGGTGACTGCGCCGTACTTTTCTGATATGGGATAACGGCTGATGATGCTAGAGTCCCCACCCTGCCACGATTGCCAGCCAAGGGCGTCTGCAATCTGAGTTGCGTGGCCGTAGGTGCTTTCTTGGAGACCGACGATGTCAGCACCAGATTTGACAATGGCTGAGATTTGCTTGCGGTTGTAGTCGTTGACCTGGGTGCCTCCGTGCCAAAGATTTAGGGACAGAACCTTGAGTTCAGTGACAAGGGGTTTTCCAGAGGCAACTACTGGAACAGTGACATCGACGGTGGCAGTAGATTTGTCGGAAGCAGTAGCCCTCACGGTGATTTTGGAGCTACCACTCCCGCTAGGGATTCCGGAAATGATACCATCCTCGGATACACTAACCCAGTCGGCGTCAGAGCTTTCCTTGCTGTACTTGGTGTTGGGGTCCGGGGCGTGGTGTAAAAGGCCGCTCACACGAGCTTCGAATTTCTCTCCCTCACGAGCATTTTTAGTCGTGAATTCTTCAACATTAAACGATATAGGTCCATCACCAGTAAGGAAAATATCAATGGGACCAGCAAGCACCTTGTATCCCGTATCGGCCAGAAAGTAGGCTTTGTAGGCGCCCCAGTTGAGGTGGGTGTCATCGATACGCTTGGTTTCTTCCGACTCACGCATCCAGTCCCAATATATAGAGTCCTCTTTTCCAGGGCCCTCGCCATAGATACTGTAGATACCGATCCAGTTCTTCTCCGACGGTTGATCGGTTTTATAGTGAAATGTGAAGAAGGGACCGTCGACAAGTTCGAAGGAGCTGCCGCGCTTTGAGGCGGCAGAAGGGCCAATGAGGGGAACCGCAGTCAGAGCTGCGAAGAAGATATCTCGAAACAGCATGGTCTTTCGTTTTCCGTGAGTGATAGAATGACAAAGATAATGGAAAGGGGTGAAGTTCTTCTATCTCTCTTGGGGCAAAATAAGTAAACCGCCCGATGTATCTTGCCTCTGGACGTCTATATTTCTGACCACGTGCCGGATCTTATTTGCCGGATCTTATTGGCTTGTACAGCGAAGATGGCTTGTTTGGGAATTAAGATCAGCGCCTGATGCAGCCTTGAAGGAATCAGGGACAGTGCAGCTTATGGGTAAGGCAGAATGGCAAATATATGTGACTGCTAGCGAAAATTAATTGCGGGAGAGCAGCTAGAAATATTATTTGTACAACATATGTTAATGTGGGATTTTGACCCGTCTCTTATGTCGCACTAAAAATATCATCGACGTTGATCGTCTGGGCAACGGGGTAGTGCTTATGCGCTAAAGTGATCCCAACACCCAGCACTTGGCACTCATTGGGGGCAGCTATTAAATAGCCCACCATCCTGTTCCTCCGGCATCTAAGATCTCCGCTTTCTGGCCCCTCCAACTAAGATTAACGGGGTAAACAGGATTCGTCCGAGTTTTTCTGTCCTAGCACAAGAGTATGCCTTGCCAGGTTTACGTACGTATTCATTCATGTGGATGTTAATAAGTGGAATTCTTATATCATTTTCGAATTAAGATCAAGTTGTAATGAATGGAGGGATTCTCGCCATTGATAGTACATCTAGTCGTGTATAGACCTCCACGAAGCCCAACCCGCAAATGGACTGGGCTTTGGGCCCGAAGGTAGGGCCCACCGGTGGGCTATGGGCCCGGGGGTGAAAGCCCACAGGGCTGGGCCCCATTATGCCGGTCGCAGCTGCGTAAGTAATATAGAATTCTCCAGTAATTCAAATTCTAGGTCATAGAGATCTCATGTGGTTAAGATCGCCAAGATTACGGGATATAAATAAAGTCATAGTTAATATATTATATAACTACTAATAAAGCTCATAGTTATATTGTATCCTCAGGTTAGGCGTATAGCCCTGTGCGATATGAATACAAGTCGTGAGCGCTGCGCGAGTAGGTAAATAATTTCCACGGCATTACCGTTACAAGATAGACCTCAATATGATCAATCACAGCTTAGGTGGCCATTGTAGAATAGGCAGGGGATATCGCTCCATATCGATACAACCTTGGAATCAAAGACTGGCGTGTATCTGGTTTCGTTGAATTGTAACTGGGAGGCTCAAACACCGCCATTTTTTATGTACTGCCACGTAAAGTCAAGAACAGGGCATATCCTTTTACGTTGTGCAGGTACATCTAACTCCAGTTGTTAACTCTTCGTATTCCTGTCCAGGCAGCATCCTTCCGCTTGAAATATGATTGTGCTCACCACTTCGATAATTGAATGGTTCATGGACTTATTGAGAGTTGTCGTTTTATGACCCGGAGTTTATCAAATGAATTCTCATAAGCCTTGAGAAAACATTTATCCTCCATCGATACATCCATTCTCAACGAGAAATCCTGACCTGGTTGGCACCATTCCGTAGCACTCGAGGGAGATTCTGTTTGGAAAATCGATCCGCCCCGATGCCTTCGTTTCATGACAATAGTGAATGAGGTTGGAGCAAAAGATACAGGTCGGTTGACAGCAGTTGGTGTTGGCGTTGGTGTAGAGGGAGATTGAGCTATCAAGAGATACCTACAGGTATCGGGGTCGAAGGAGCCTTCAGATGGATTTTTACCGCAGGTCACGCAGCTCATATTTGCAGGGCATATTTTGCAAGATTATCGAAATTGACAATTCTTACTGGGATTGCAATGCGGGATATAAAAGGTCTGCCTACCCCTCATCCCTCATTAATAGACTCATTACGGTCCTAGTAGACCACGGATCTAGCTAGTAATATAAGAAAAAGGAACTAACTCAATCGATTACTAGATAGCAATAGATCACGATATTTTGAAGTTTAAATACCAAAAACATGCTATTGGATGGAAATAGTTGCCACGCGGTTCCAACCATTTAGAGGTGATCGAAGACAACCTCAACCCGTGGATAAGTACTTTTAGCATTGATCGAGACCACCAGCATACGCCACATCGTGTTGGATAACATCATTGATTTCCCCGTACCCCAGTCTACGTAGTGTCGAATTACGACCATAACCACAGATAAAACATGGCTAATATCTATCCAAAGGGTAGCATGTTTCGGCTGACCATTGTCAAGAATGTTGGACTTCAATTCAAGGGGAAATGCATAATATGATCGCGTGGATTAACTACGGCTGAGTGGACGGGAAGACCTATTATCCACACCCTATGGTTTTATATACTATGTTATGTGCCGGAAAGGATTATAATATGAACTTGTGGAAGTGATTGGTGGTTGGCAAAGTTAGTCGCCCGTAGTCAACATCTATAAAAATTGGGACGAATAAAATCACGAAAAGCCGGAAAAAAAAAGAAAAAAAAGAACCAATGAAAAGCAATACGAAATTTGTAATCGGAGACACTGCAGCCGTGGGCATCTAGAAATATCCTTTACCGAGGACGTTATACCATGTATGACACCATGGTGTTTGACAGGCAGGCTTCCCAGACCCCAAGTCAACCTACCTTATCCCAATAATATCTAACTATGGCAGCCTTCACAAGGTGACACTGCTCAGCTACTCCCACCGTGATTTCTCATATATAAAAACGAATATGTTTACTCTGAAAAGCTGTCACTATATGAGAGTTTGGTCATACATATTAGGACTTCAAGACATGTAGACGAAGCTGCAATACCGTATGACATTCGGTATTTGCAAATCCGTGAGTGGCAAGTTCTATAATAGGAAGCTATGAACCGGTAAGTCTTATGATAACAGGTGGCAATCTAAAAAGCTTCTGGGTTTATCACCGGGCGCCACGGCTACGCCTTAGGGGAATCATTCTTCGTTAAATCCGGGTCGAGTGTGCTTAAGGGAAAGGTAGAAACGTTATGTTAAATCCCGAATATGTAAGCTTCATCGGCGGGCTCGAGGGTCTTTTTGTTTGCTTCATCTTATACACTTGCTACCTAGGTCCTTAGGTAGTAGTATGTTTCTGATATTCCTTAGGTCATTGGCAAGGTCATTGGCATTCCACTTCGGCAGCCAGCTTTGCATTGTCTTCAGCAGCATGTTTGCGAAGCATCGAGAACTGTTCCCTACTAACACTAGGAGTGTCATATGATACTTCAATACCGTGTGGGCGTAGATCAGCCCCCATAGCATCCATTCGGTCCCACGGATACATGTCATCGGTAATACTGATGTACCCATCAACAACAGGGTTAAATGTGATTTCGATCCTCCGAAGTGGACATCCGTGTTTAATTGCCTTGCGTGCGAGTAGTCGTAGCCAATCTTCTTCTGCTTGGCCGAAGTCACATAAGCTCTCACCGCATTGCTGATCTAGGAGTGTTAAATCCCAGTGGAAGACACGGAGGCGCGGGGCAAGAAGACTGTGAGGGGGCTCGCAAATTTCGTTCCTATTGAAGAGTTGATGACCGGAAAAGTCGGACCCGAGGCTAAGTTTCTCGAGGTTTTCGAACTCGCGCAAGTCAAATCCATCGAACCCGCTCTTGTGAAGGCCGTATATTTTGATAGAACGGAGAGTTTTTCGGTGCGTGTACAGAATTGGTTGCAATGTTGCCAGGCTCCAGTCACTATAGAGCCCTGAGGTTGCGAAGTCATCCCCAGATGAATATTTCAGCTCAAATTCCTCTAGACGTCTTGGCCAACGGACTAGTGCTTCGAGGGATTTTGGAGTTAGGAGAAAGCTGCGCAGCTGAAGTTTCGTGAATGGAGCAGTTCCTGCTTTTTCCTACAAAACATGCATTCCGTTAGTACATCGGCACAACTTTGATAGAACCAGGGTGCTCGAAATGCATATATATACCTTAAGTTCTTCCTGGCATATTTGGTCCCCGTAAATAGAAACACCCCCCCAGTTTTAGGGTTTGGAGGTTGGGGAGAAATCCAGACTTGAAACCACCCAATGCCTCTATTACAAGTGGTAGGTGAAGGGTATAGCGGTAGTTGGCGTTGAGTGAGAGAATATTACAACCAGATATGTGTTCTGTGGCCAATTGGAGTAGCCCCCATGCCTTCTTGCCCCCCAAACCCCAGAAGGTCAAAGATTTGGCAGCAGTGAGCCAGGTGAGACAATCTGTTACAGCATAAAGAAAATCGATTTTTGATTCGTCATAGGTCACTGTGAGGTGTCGGCAAAGTTTCCAAAGCAATGGATTCTCTCTGAAGGTGCGATGAAGGTACTTGGAAATTTGCGTCGGTCGTCTCCAAGTCTTATCGCCGGTGTTGATCACTAACTCTGCGTACAAGTACGGCACAGTAATGCGATAAAATCGTTTACACACAAGAGAAAGTGCAACGACCATCTCGTAGGGTTGATATTGCTTGTGTAAATATTCGTCGTCATCGAGAATTGGCGCCAGGGGACTAATAATCATACTCAAAAGCTCGTCGGGTAATTTGAGGATGAAGGCCCGGTCTAGAGAGCTGTTGTTGATATCCATGGTCTATACCCTTGTATCCTTCCTTTGAGATGAGATGTGCAAGACAAACTGGTTTCCAAAAGGTGGGAGAATGGAGAATATGAGGGGGAAACCCCCTATTGAGCCTCACACCGTAACTTCCAGTTTTGAGCCGCACTTTCTTCGGTGCCTTACTTCTAAGGTTACAACATCTAACGTATTTCACAAGCGAGTGTGGCCTACCTAACCTAACCTACTAATTTCAATATAGTTCAAAGGGGATTTAGGGTCCTAATTACTACCCCGGCTAGAGGTGCCGGAGTTAGATGGTCGTGATTTCCCTGGTTAATGACATTTGATGTTATGAACACTGAGAGAGCGTAAGGACGTAGCGTTGAATTGTAGAAAGCTCTCTATAATGGCCAGCTTTGTTAGAATCGGAGCACAATGATAGCTCACGTATGTTCACGTATGTTCAGACTTACGCGACGCGGAATATGGTGCTCTTATGATACGACCTCGGTTGTGTCATGTCAAACATCTGGGATCAGAAAACTTTCGAGAAAGTCTAATAAAACTCAGTTCAGTGGCAAACCTAAGGATATCTACATTAGCTTAATCCTAAAAGTATTACTCTTAATCCCCGGACACAGAAAACCGACAGAGATGGCCTCATCGTCTCCAGGAACATAAAAGCCAGCCCTAGGCCCTAGGAGCTGTGTTGCTATGGTACAGGTGGATCCGTCCAAGTCGACACGATAGCTAAGGACATCTGTGGCAAGCGCTCGGGGTTGGATCCAGGAGGCTTATGACAGCTAATCCTGACTCCCAGCTGGGGCATTTTTCCGAAAAATGATATGTTTGTGCGTAGCATATTCATGGGTACGGCTCGGACTTCAGCCCGTGCTTCGCCATCAATTCCTTTTCGGTGGGCTTTCTTGCCCACACACGACGACTAAGTTTGTTATCAGATTGGAACAGCCAGAGAAGAGACGATAGGGAAGGAGAGCTTACCCATAATTCCATCCATGTGTGTGTGGATCTTTCAACTCCAAACGCACTTTGGCCAGATAAACCTGGACCTCCTCATTTGTCCACGGCACCGGTTCCCCAAAGTGGGTAAGCAGCCACATCGCCCAGCCCTCTAGAGCAGCGTTCCAATGAGCGTAATGAAGGTGCCCGGCCTCTTTCAGGACTTTGTCCTTGGCCCATGGACCGAGAGGTATTTTGTAAAGCTTTTCATGCGCATCCACAAATCCGGCCTTCTCCATAACCCCGCGCATCGTTTCCTGGGTTGTGAGCGTCCGCCCGGCTTGCGCGGAGCAACTAAGGAACAGATCACCCCAGCCGCCTAGCAGACTATTTTTCTTCAGGGTACCGTCATCACTGTGGCATCGTATATCAAACTCCACTTGCTCGATCCAACCACCTGGAGCTAGGGCGCTGTGAGGACAAGCGATTAGGGCTTGACATATAAAATGGTCGAGCGATCATATTTTCACTCACTCGTAGGCCCGCTTGTACACTTGATTCCAACCCTCTGAATCAAAGGCCCCATACATCATACGCAGATGAATGAAGTCAAACGGCTCTCTCCATGTCCAATCTTTGAGTACGTCGTCCACTTCGAAAACGCAATTTGGAGGCATCCAGGTCACAGGGGGAGGGAATAGATCCACTCCGCGAATCGTGGCTGTCACGCGTCAGTCTCAGAATAGCACAAAAGCCGTGCCCTTAATCCGATTACCTGTCGGGTAAAAATCCGCAACGTCACTGTGAGATCGTTAGAGCATTCCTTGAGATAAGGTGTATTGACTTACATTGCCCAGCTTCCTTTTCCCGTTCCAATGTCCAGAATATGCTATTTTGATTGGTTAGTTCATACACAGACAGAGAAACATGGGTCATGATAAATGTACTTTGGGAGAATCTCCTATAGGAGCGTGGAAGAGAGCATTCGGTTGGTAATAATCTAGAACGAGGAACAGTATGTGGCTTGGCACGTTAATACTACATCTTCCCTTCTAGTGAGGGAGATGGGTATATGTGAGCCTCACCTGATTTCAAATGCCTCGAATTGCTGCTCATCTGAGGGACCCCTACATGTGATTTAGTTGATGCCCTTCTGATACAAATACGGCATGGCTTACCAATAGTCATCTTCCTTTGTCGCTTGATATCTACCTTCCAGGTCAGTCAATGAGATAGGCCTTATCTGAATTGCGCCAACCTTCGGCCATTTTCAAACCGCCCCTTCGCAATAGCCGACGCGATCGAGGTTGTTTCCCTGAAAGGCGAAAATGTCAAATATGTACCACCAATCCTTCTAGGAGATACTAACGATTCAAAGTCATCTGGTTCCAGATCGCGTTTCATGGAGTAGAAGTTAGGGTCCTTGAGGAATAGTGAGCATAACCCCGTCAGATTTTGCGAGCAACACTTACTACAGCAATGTTGTCATCCTTTGGGGCCATCTCTGCGACCCCCTTTTCGTGCGCACTAGAGCTTGAGATTCGACGCCGACGTGATCGTGGATTCAAGAATTCAAGAATTCAAGCGTTTCAACAGCACGACACTTTTTTATTTGCCGATCTCCAGGTCGATTCACACACAAATACAGAGCCACCTTCGGGAAAGGTATTACGGAGTACAGGATAGGCACTTGAGATCCGTCCTGATCCAGGACACTAACAACTGGCCGTAGGATAATCCTTTTTCCGAGGGAAGGGAGCAAGCTGGTACGTACGCCGAGTTGCTTGGAATAATTGTGACGCCCCTATTTGCCAGGATACTGAAGAATCACGCATGGCCAGTTTCGGTCAAAAACCATTGTCTTTCTTGCTACTGATGGTTACAGTACTGTGTCCTTCTGCAGATCGAGACACAGAAGTGTTCCACTCAAGAACTTGGTCTTGGCGTTGCTGGACCGGAAGAGGGGTTGGGAGGGTATTCGGAAATGCACGGATGTAGGTTCCCACAGGTGGGGAAGGTGGGAAGGTGCCCAGCACATTATAAGAGATAGACGTGTTAATCCGGCTTATTAACCCCTTAGAAGTACCGAATAAAGGATATTCATGGATATTATATCGTTTTAGTAAACCTATTAACCTACATACCGGTAAGTAACCGATAGATATATCTTAGATATATCTTAGATAGGCCATAGATAGGCCATAGATATAGGCCTTGACAAAATGGTACTGTCGTTACTGCCAAGATGCCAAAGTTTTGCCAAGGCGCTAACTCGTGTCGAGTTGTCGATCTCCTGACCACCTGCCTATTTAGGTAATTATTTAACCAAAATAGGTAAGGTCGCAGCACCACAGTACCAGAATTCTATTTAGTACTGCAGTACCGAGGTACCTAGGTACCTGTCAAGGCCTATTATGGAGAGGTTTAGAGTCGACTAGTTAGTTATGTTGTAGGCTAAACTAACGTCTAAGAGATAGGAACAGTAGGAAACTGACTAACCATTTATTAATATAGTATCTACCTAATACCTTGATATCTATCTCGAATCGATTCAATTCTTAAAAGAGGACGTACTCAAGGTCAGGTAGTTCAACGCTTTGAGTTTACATTGCAATATGCAAGCAGATATCGTGAGCATCTTACTTTTTAGCGGTAACAGACCTTTTATGACTTGGCTATGAATTCACCCAAGTTCGACTTCTGCCACATCTTACATCCTACCTTATTCCAATCCTTTACCTATATGGTTTAACCAATTCACTTTGACATATACCACCTACACTTTGACACCATCATTGCCTCCTTATACGTGGACATCTCTTTAATCTTCACTCCAGTCAGGGACATATTCTCCCAGAGTAGCATCAAGGAGACCACTGACAAACTCGAGTCATTTGACCAGGCCCGCATTCGAAAGCTAAATGCGAAGCCATGCTGTTGCAAATGCTCCCCACGTCGTGGATGTTCGATTCCCTGGGATGAGGTTGTCAGTGAATTCCGCAAGGGTACCCTCGAGTACTTTGACGGTTTGTGCTTGGATTGTATGAAGCACTCTCCCAGGAAAAGTTCGAAGTATGGAAACGTTCAAGTCACCAAGATGGTCATGACAAAGATTGTTGTATTGAGGGCGGTTAACATGGTTGCAGAATGGGATGGTTGGATACTTCGTTACTTTGGAGTCCAACCTTAAAGTTTTCGCGATCATTTCTTGTTATCGTTGGTCTATTACAGCTTAGATGAAAAGCTTTGAATTTCCAAGCCCTGGTATAACATTTCTATGTAAAGTAAAAGGGATCGGGTATAAAATGGCTCTTGTCACTGTCGCGTCCGCTTTTGACTCTGCCGGTTTTTACCTTGAGACCCTCTCTCGCCCAGACAGTTCCAGAAGCTGTTCCTTCAATCTTCTGCTTCTTATTCCTCCTCCTTCCACTGTCACTCTTCGGTCCCTGCCATACCTCCCCCCTTCTACTCAAGATGGGGACAACCAAGTTCCCAAAGAGACCCACGCTTCGATGGGACCAACACAAACGCCTGGTACTTTGTTGTTTGTATCGATTCTTCGTTTGTAGCAAGAAGGAAACTGAAGAAATATTCTCCTATATGTTTCGAAGTCACCTAAATGAGCGCGGTATTCAAGGCTTCATTCCATTTGCCACTCTCCACACACAGTGGGTTTGGATGAAGAAAAGACGTGATCCAGTTTGGTCCCAAGTGCATATGAACACCACATTTGAAGCGAATGGCGAGTGGAAAGAAATTGTTACAAAGATCAAATCTGCAGCCAAAACTTTGCAGTTCGAGCTCCGTGAGAAGATGGAGGATGACACCATTACATCGTGCCAGAGCTCCTTAGGGTCCGAGGATGAACGGAATACTACATCCGTTAGTTTATCTCGGACATATCCAATTTGCGATTACAAGCTGACGATTCATTCTCTTAGAATGAACCCGCCGCGCCGATAATTTCCCACTCATTGTCTACTCCAGAAACTGCCAACCCGATAGTATTGGTATGCCCGACCCGGGATCATGTTTTCAATGGAAGATCTAGAGACAACCAACGCGCCGACCAAGCCATTGACCTATGCATTGACCAGAGCATCGATCAACATAACGACATTCACAATGACACTCCCACTGGACTCCATGGGTCCACCGAGCCGGTCGTCACTACCCATGGTAAGCTCTGCCTCTGGTGTGAACATGAAGGAACCCCCTACGAGTCCGAGGACATCCAGGAACTGCAAGACAAAGACTACGATTACAACAGTGAATATGAGGATCATAGTCATGGCAATCATCATAATGACCGACAAGACGACCCTATTATGAGAGAGTACGCCCAAGGATTCAAGCGGTTTACCAGGGAGCTAGATCGTCAAGTCCCCTATTCGGATGAAGAATTGTCTGATTCAGAGAGCGAGTATCTGATGACACTCCAAGAAAGCCCTGCAAAAGTGCACTCATTTTGCGACTCACGCCTGTCCTTGCCTTCAGACCTAGAACAAGGGCTCCTAGATTCTGGGGATAATTCAGAATGGTGCGCCGACAGAGGAAGTCTAATCAATTTGGTTGATTTCGGGAGCCCTTCGATTTCAATGGAAGACCCGAGCGGTACCCTTGACAATGATCGAATTTCCACACAAAATACTCTTTCCAACATCCGTTTCCCCTGGAACCACACGGCTTACGATGAGGTGCCCGACGACGGCTTCGGTGGTCAGAGGGCGTTGCAGTATCAGTGGCCCTCAAATGATGAAATGAGGGTGGAAACTCTACGCCAGATGTCCGTGGAAGCTCTTCGCCAGATTGAAAACCAGTCAACAACTCACTTTAATCATCAGGGGGAAATGGATGTATTGATTTATGACGGCAATACCTGGAACCAGGTGTAGGAAGAGTGAGATAACTAGATACTGCATAAAAGGAGAAATCAAGAACGTTGAAATTTCTCAAGACGCTAACCTTCCCTTCCGAAGGCACGTGACCGTCAGCCCCCTCAGATAATAACATCTCCTCTTCCTCTTTGATATCAGCGCAATACTCTCCCTTGAATTAATCGACTCTCACTCAGTGTTTCCCTCTAAGCTGGGGCTAGCGCCGTTTCTGCGTGGGGGATAATTAACTACACAAAGAAGATGAATTTCAACACTGATACTCTTCTGCAATCTCTCACGCCAAGATGTCTTCAAACTCGAATCCGCAGCTTCGAATGCCGGGGTTTAATGTAGACTTGAACTGTACGCCCAATGTGAGAACTGAACTTTTTTTTATATACGACATGGCACGCGCTAACAAGCTAGCGAAATATATTCGGTATGGGAATCAATGGGTTTCGGAATGGTCTAGATATGGATCACCATGCATTTGGCTGCATGTAGTATGTTTTGTTGGTGTGTCTGCGGGCGATGTCTTGAGGTTGACCCAGATTCTCTAGTGACTTGGTTACTCACCGAGAGATTCTCATGATGCGGGTCATGGATATGATCACGGATGAGCCCGGATGGGATCAAAAGGTGCAAAGGTCTCATCGCTATTTCTAGTCTTATTTCTAAAATTCCACAGGTCTTCGATGAGGATATCACGGCTGAATGGCGGAATAAGATCGTCCGCATTGGACAATACGTGACTCCGAAGATGATGGATTGGATTATCAAAGAGCTTCAATGGAAAGCCGGCGTCTTCAAAGAGAAAGGCCTTGTCCATGTCTTTGATGTGGGTGTGGTTAAGTCCGATACCGCCGTGTCGAAAGAACTACAGCAAGCATTAAAAGAGGCCGTGAAGGCTCTCGAGAACATTCCAGAGGACCAGAAAGACTATCACCCGGGATCTGACAACAAGGTGGTCAATTTAGTGAACCCCTCGCTATTCCCGGTAAGATACGGCCAGACTCATGTTCTCGCAAATCGAACCATCGGTCTGGATAACTGCCTAAGCAGTGTGGGACAGGGAAACTTAATCCCCGTTCCCTCCACCGAGAACTGCCGTCCGCATAATGAATATAACGAACACCACCCTCGCATCCCGGAGAGGGAGATTCCAGTCTTCAGCGAGAAGTTCCAATTGCTCCCGTGTGATGTGGAACTCACCCATGACGCCGGCTGCAGAATTGTCTCGTATATCAACAATGTCCATCCCGTCGACCATAAGGGGCTATATGATGTGATTGAGAAGATCATCGCCGGTGCAATCCCACTCTGGGATCAGAGCTTGACAGAATTCTGTATCAACAGAATCAATTATCGGGAGGTCAAATTCGGTGACCATACGCAGCCTGAACCGATTTGGCCTAAGAAAAACCACAAAAATGAGCTAGAGCACCTCGAGGCCAAACTGAGGTTCTTGGAACTCAATTGGCAGTGGAAAATTACCCGTCCTGTTCTACTCCCTGAACCGCAAGAATTCACTTTCCCTGGACAATGGCGCAGGGTCAATCTACGGAATCAGTTCCCCAAAACGAAACTGCAGGTCATTGTGAAGTTGGCCAACATCGAATTGACCACTGACAACCCCGAGTACGAAGGGTCATGGCACCTCGAGGGACAGCTAGTGAGTGATTTATACCCACCCTCATTCAGCTCCCCGTACTAATCCAATCAGAACGAGCGTATTTGTGCCACCGCAATCTACTACTACGACAGCGAAAATATCACCGAGGGCACCCAACGTTTCCGTCAACATGGAATGGACAATATGATAAATATCAACTATTGCAGTGGGCACCACAAGTTCCTGCAAGCAGTGTATGGCTTTGGTGAAGATGTCCGGGGCAGGGGCAACACTGATGTCACACAAGACCTTGGCGGAGTCGTCTGCCAGGAAGGTCGACTCCTCACGTTCCCTAACACCGTCCAGAACCGAGTTTCTCCGTTCTCCCTGGACGACCGATCTAAGCCTGGCCATCGTAAAATCCTCGTGTTATTCCTGGTGGATCCTCATCGGCGGGTTATCTCCTCTGCCAATGTGCCCCCACAGAGGGAGGACTGGGGTGGTGAGAGACAGCAGGCTGTGAATCAAGTTCTGTCAAGACTACCGTTGGAATTGCAGTACATTGTTCAGAGCTATATTGACCCCCTAATGACTATGGACGAGGCTAAGGCACACAGGTTGGATCTTATGAAAGACCACAGGCTCAAATCGAGGAGACTCGATCAAAATTTTGAGACGGGCAACTTCCATCTCCAGTAGAGAAACACAAAAGCGAGTTCAATTCAGAAGTTATGAGACAGTGGAAGACAAGTAGCAATAAGTATTTGATAGAGATAAATCTATATAAGAAAAGTTTATAGAGTAACAAACATCAACGTTGCCAGCTGGTTATATGATCGATTTCCCGGACGGGATGTCCGGGTTAAATTGAGGATGATTCACGATGCTCTCATATTTATGTGCAGTCGGCAACCCCCTCTCCATTTGCGCCTTAGTCGCGGTAGGAAGCCTCAGGCCACCCATGAGGGGATTTGTAGGATTGTAGTCATATATCCACAAACGGTTGGAGTTATCGGGTGCAGTTCCTGTGTAGAACTTCGAACGCATCCAAGGACCATTCAGACGTTTTGTTCCCCGTCCAGGAAGAACGACAACGGGTATCGAGTCCCAACTGGCTGCCATATATTGTCTCTCTTTCTCATCCCACATGTTAACTTCCAATTCTCTTACTAGCATGGCTTTATTGCTCCCATCGGCCAAAGTTACGACTAACACCCTCAAAAATCGTGGTAAAGGGTAACTAACGCCGTTGGCTTGTAGATTGGTCCTTAATCGATTCACGTCCTCGTCATAAAGGACCATATAATCGGCTCCGGTGTCATCCTTGAATTTGAATTCAAAGGGTCCAGGTTGTGTTTGCCCGCCTGTCATTGGGATCCGAAGAACAATTGAGGGCTAAGAAAATGTTAAAACGAAGCATTTGGCATTAGAAAATTGTATAGACAGGCATACATACCTCGGCTGCCCACTTTCTAGACCCTGTTCCACATTCGATTACAGCTTGTTGACTACTAGGTCCAGGGCCATCAATCTATAAATGATTTAATATCAGCATACTATTCGATCTCCTAATATGGGGGTATCCCCATGTCTAACAGGACTTACACCCTCTACCCAAAATCCCGTTTCATTTCCCTTATGTGCATCATAGAGATATTGGAATTCATTCCACTTGAAGGCCCTTGGTGCACAGAGCTGAGCTCCATTGTGCCAATAGGTGACAAAACCATGACACCAGTTCAAGACACCCGATCGGTAGGCCAGTATGACATTTTGAACATTGGTGGCGATATTGTGCTTGTCCTTGATGGCATTACTTTGAGTCCATTCCAGGATAAATTTCAGATTCTGCAGGCGTTGCACGACAGGCCAATTTAGCCCGTGCTCTGCAGCCAACCTTTTACTAAATAAGTTCAAGGATATTAGCGATGATCAATATCTTCATCTTCGTATTGAGTTATGCGATGACTGACTTGCGTGCCCTCTGCTCAAACAAAAACTCTTCCAATTTATGTTCATAGACATGAGGCATGATGTTGTCCTTAATCCGCTCGCGGCATCTTGTAATTTGAGACTCCAGATCACTGTACACCATTGGTTAGTAGTTGAATTGCCCGTATCAACTAATTGGAGCCTACTCATTAATCAGATCAGGCTCTCTTGGATTCCAGCCTTTGGGTGCCTTCGCCCGGTCCGTAATGGCAGTCTTTACCGGACGCCATTTCTGCTTGGGAGGTCTTGGTGGCATAGGTTCAAGCTTCTTTTTAGAATAGTCGGTTTTCAGATCGGCTAAGAAAGCTTCCACATCCAGAGGTTTGGGTTTAGGTTCCTCTTTCTTTTGTTTCTTTTTTATAGAGACCGACTCTGCCTGCAAATCATGTGCTCCCCTCTTTGCCTTTGGTCGTATAGGGAGATCTTCTTCCAGTTGACCTCTAACCGCTTCATCACGCTGTTCTTGCTGTTTCTCGCTAAAGAAACCCTGGGGTTTTCGGGCCCGCGCGCGATCATCCGGGTTGTCGGACATTTTGAAATAGAGAGCAGTTGTGAGATGGATGGTATTTCCTTGAGATATGGGGGACGAAGCAAGAATCGGACAACCATGAACATGAAGGAGTTTATCGATGTATTTTGTATGGAATTGGCTTTGTTTGATGGAGATTCGTTCGAGTTGCTTCTTCGACTTTTCTTTGTGCATTCTTTTTTTTTTTTTTTGTTCATGTTTCATATGAAAGGATATGGTGTTGCAATTGGCAACAAAAAGTATCTCTGCTTGCCCTAAATCCCAGTCTTTGTCACTGTCGGACCAGACACCAACGCGTAAGGCATACTTCGAAGCTAGAAAACCCAGATGTTAGCCATCTTTGAGCACATTTAACCACCATAGAATTAGTACGCTGACCGATACAGTCAATAGTCAATGGAAAGAAATACCAAAGATGAAAGAATTTGCGCAAGCTATCGTAGTAAAATAAAAAGTGAACCACTCATCTATTCATCCCCAGACAAGCCATGCAACTCACCAGAGCAAGCGCGTTCATCAGACCTCACAAAGAGAGCGTTATCATCCCCATCACTCAATTCGAACGGATTCTCAGGACCACCCTTGAAAGACGCAGACTCCTCATCCTCAAAATTCTCCCTCACCCTCCCTTTTTCCAGCATGATCCTGATATTACCCATAATATGGTCAATTTGAGTAGAGATATTGTTCAGCTCATGGTACATCTGACGCGCCAGCCAGGTCTCACACTTGCCCCCATGTCGGCTCCGGATGCGCTGGTCGTACTGCAACACCGCGAGCGAAATCGGGGTGTACATAGCGGAGATTTCATGGTACTCCTCCGACATGTGGTCAGAGACTGGCTCGTGGGGAGTCTCCTTCTCGTCGGAAGCGTGGTTGAATAGACTCAACTCCAACCCCCCGGGGACGATGAACTCTGAAGACGGGAGGTCTGGGAGCTTCAATGGGTTTCCGGGCTTGGTAGAAGCAGTGTCCTCCTTTGCGGCCTTCTGATTCGACGACAGCTTGGGTGAGAGTTCTCGTTGAGTGCGCCCGGGAGATGCGGGCTGCTGCTTTCCATGTGACAAGGTAGACTTGGTTGTACTGTTGTCTCTCTTGGGCTCTTTGTTGGGTGAGCGCTTGTGTGGTTTATTGGGGGTCTTTGAGTTAATCGACGCCTGGGAGATGGTCTCCATTGAGGAACTCGTCCTCCGGCTCTTAGTCCCAGATCGACCTCCCCTCTTGCGTTTCTTGGTCTTAATCGACTCAGAGGGGCTGGCATCGAGGGGATCCTATTGTGCATATGGATATCAGTATCTTTGTTATAATACGCAGGCTGTGGGGATGAGGTATTCAATATAGATCCATGGATAGTATGAAGGCTGATGTAAGTGATATAAGTGTGTAGTCGTGCACCCATACCTTCACCTGTTTAGCAGGGGTGTGATCTTTGAGGCGGGCTGAAGCCTGGACCTCTTCCTTTGGAGTAGCTGGCATTATTCTGGTTAGATTGGCGATGAAACAGGGATATCAAAGGTTCATTAGACAGAGGGGATGAAGATACAGAGATGGAGAGGGATAGTGAATCGTTGTGCAGACAGAATCTTGGCATCAATTTATAGATGTGCATGGCATACGACAAATGAGAATGGCAAATAATGTCGACAAACACTCGGGTATCAAACTCGATGTAGTATCGGATGCATGTGTACTAATCAAGATGGCAAGATGTGAAAATGATAAATAAGTGATAGTTTATGTTGGTTGAATGCACATTGAAACCAGTACAAGTCGAGTATCGGATTCCATAAGGAGAATAAGTAGAAAGTAAAAGATCATGCTTGATCGAAGATGTGAATATAATAAAAAGCGTTATGTCCAGGAGAATAGTGCACAAAAATCAACAAAAGATAAGCTCCACAAGAAAGGCAGACGTGAAAAGATAACCCAAAAGGGCTCATTATGTATTATCTAAGACGTAGACAAGACATATACACCAGAAGAAGAACCCACAGCCGTAAACACCCGATAGCATCGTGTGGATGATCAAAATGATAACACCCAGTCACGATGCTATCTCTTCATGGTACCATTGACAACCTCAACTGATTTACAGAAGGAGGGCAACGGCACCGAAGACGGCAGCCAGACCGGCACCAGCACCGGTAGCGGCGTTGATGGCACCGGCGTTGAAGGCGGGCTGGGAGGGGGTGGCAGCGCTGGAGGGAGAGCTGGGCACACCGGTAGGGCCAACACCGGGGACCAGAGGGGTGGAGGTGGCGACACCGGGGACGGGGATGAGGGGAACACTGCTGGAAGCCACGGGGGTGGAAGTCGCAGGGGTGGAGGCCACGGGAGTGGAGGCCACAGCGGTAGTAGAGCTAAGGAATATGTTAGATTGGATTAATTGGTCATGTTGGAAGGAAATTCTTACCAGGACTTGCACTCAGTCACGGTGGAGGTCTCGATGGGACGAGTGACGGTGTAGGGACCGTGGGTCATGGTGATGTGGCCGGGCTGGAATTGCTGTTAATATACATGTTGCAAACTTGTTAGGCAAGGTAAACATAAACATACGGTGGCGATGCTGTAGGTCTTTCCTCCGTGAACAATGGAGGTGGCCTCAGGGCAGTAGGTGGTGTACTCGGTAAGAGTCTCGGTGACAACACCGGCCATGGCACCAGCGGCACCGAGAGCGAGAGCGGCAATAGAGAAACGCATTGTGATAGAGTTGATAGAGATGATTGGAATGGTTCCAAAAATGTTCAGAGAGATAAGGTTAATTTTAAAAGAATGACAAGGTTTAAAAAAAAGAATGTAATCGGTTGAAAACCGGGGATTTAAAGAATGTAGTGGAAAAGAGAGAGGGAGAAAAAGAAGGGGAGAGGAGAGTTTATAACCAAAATGCTGTAGGCCCTGGGAGATTTAATTAAATGAGATTCAGGTACCCGTGTGCCACTTAAGGCACACACACACACTCTGTGGTGCCCACAGGGAAAAAGGGGCAGAGACAAGTGTGTGGCAATAAGTGACGGGAAGAAAATAAACAAAGAGATACTTGATACTATACCTAAATTATTATGAAAACTAAAGTCACTTCCTCCCTAGCGTCCCCTCCTCATATTAAGGGCACGCCCTCAGGAACTGGTTCAAGGTGTGTCGGGAGATCCTTTCCTATTTGGGCACTGATTGGCTACTCGGGTTGGGACTAATTTCCCTGGGCATTGGCGATTGTAGTTCTAGGTGTTTGGATCAACTTGTTATAACTAACTACGGAGTATATTATGTTGGATTTGTATATCTTTTATATCTTTTATAGTCTTTTGTCTTTTATATAATTGGTTCTATACATTCTCAAAAACGTTCTAAATAATTGTGCTTATCTCTACAATATCTTACCTAGGTATAAACCTTCCCTGGTGTGCTTATGCAAGCAGGCTCTGGGTCCACGGGTGTAGCCAGCTCCAGGGGACCTGTTGACCGCTTTGTTGACTATCTGAACTTCGGAATAGTCTTGGAAGCCCGGAAATCCTAGAAATCCATTATGGGTTTTCGGACTTTTCGAATCGTCAAAAATGAATCTCCTAGATCTGCCACTTGAGATTATCCACCTTATTTTCCAGTCCATACCCGACCAATGGAGTCTCCCTGCGTTGCAAGATCCCAACTACGACCCTAATCCACGGGTCTTCTCCCTCGACCTGTGGTCACTCAACTCTTTTGTCCAAACATGCAAAACCCTATATATGCCTCTGAACCCCTTCCTCTATCAGTGGGATGCCGAGTTTTACTCCAACCGGGCCCTGGGCTGGGCAGCAGAAAGTGGCAACCTAGCAACTGCGCGGCTCTCACTCAAAGCGAAGCTCCCAGAGGAAAGATGCCACAAAAGATGGGAATACTTGTATGTGGCTACATATTATAACCACCAAGCCATCGTACACCTTCTACTGAAGCATGATATCGATCCGAATCGGGTTGCGTACTGGGACACTGAGGTGGATGACGGCGAGGGTTCGAACAATCTCAGTATCAATTTGCTCGAGGAAGCCACACACGTGGGCTCTGTTCCAATCCTGGAATTATTACTTGATCATGGGGCAGTTACTGACCGTCTGACATTCATATCAATGCTGAAACACGCAGCGGGGAAAGGGTACCTTGCTATCGCCAAACTTCTTATCGAGAATGGCTGTGGTCTTGGAGCGATCGATCCTGCTGAATATCACGATGCTCTATGCAGAGCAATCGAGACAGGATCCACCAGTGTAGTTCAGTTTCTGCTTGAACAAGGAGTTTGTCCTGAGATGCCGCCCGGGATACAGCGGCCAGGTCGGTCGTCTATGGCTCTGGCTGCTTATATGCACGACCAAGAGATAATCAAGATGCTAATTGCCCATGGAGCGAATCCATTTCCCGAGGAACCGATCGGCATCTATGTCCTCCCATTGGTAAATGCTGCCAGTGTGAAGAATTACCCAGTGGCTCAGCTCCTCCGTGAATCCATCAATCTAGAGGAGATGATCAGATCGAGAGGCCGGAACCAAGAATTGCTTCTGTTGGTCGCTGCTGCCTGTGGATGGGACGACATGGTACGACAACTCCTCGACCAGGGCTGTCCGGTGGATACAAAGGTACGAAATTCATACTCTTTCCATTCAACCAGTAAGCCCGACATCAACAAGGAGCATCTCCCGCCTATATCGCTCGCGGCCGATCGAGGTCACTATAGCACTGTGCAGCTACTGCTTTCCTATAATGCAAGCTACAATCCCCTCTCGAGATACGAAGAACCCTTCCCACTTCTCCATGCGGTGGCCTCAGGACACCTGGATATTGTGGAGCTTCTCCTCGATCACGGCGCAGAACTGAATGGTATAGGACGATGGTATGACCGGGACAAGGACATCGGTGATCTACCGTGCATATATTGGGCTTTGAGACATCCGGAGATCTTCCGCCTTCTGCTTGACCGAGGCGCGGATCTATCCGTGCGGGCAGTAGAAGCCAGCATCCAGATTGACCGGAATCTACATGGGATTATCTCAATCAGTCATGAGTTTGAGGGCGGAGGGCGAGCACCCACAAGCACACTGGTCATCCAAGAGGCTCTGGAAAGTGGTTGCACCGAAATAGTCCAAATCCTCCTGGAAAGAGGCATACCATTGCAAATCCCTGGGCAAGGTGCCTGTTGGGGTCACAAGCCTCTGCTAATAGCGGCAGCGGCGGGGGGCGAAGAAACGACAAGGCTTGTCTTGGACCATGGACTCAACATTTCCTCGGGAAGCGTAGATGTCGAGGAAGCCATAAACATTGCTGTCGGTAAAGCAAACTTCGTGTTGTTTAAGCTCCTGCTGGACAGAGGATTTTTGAATCCTCCATCTGCTTCTCCGGGAGATCGAAACATTCTGGGAATTGAGATACCCGCGTCCCCAGCGCCACAGAGAGATACAAATACCGATGCGACTACTATGGATCTACCAACAGAGCACGGCACGTGCACTAAACCGACAAAATCACCTCTAGCAACATCCCCTCTTGATCATCTGTTCATGAGCGAGGCTTTACCAGGTCCAGGAAATACGGAAATTTTCGTTCAGTTTTTGTTGGAACAAGGTGCAGAACCCCTTGGAGGATCTTCTGCCTTTACGACTCCATTGGGAATAGCTTCAAAACGACGATATATCCATATAGTTCGGCTTATGCTGAGGGTCATTGATAGACAGACTATTACGGAGGAAGAGCTCTTGCTTAAGCTTGGCGTGATTCTTGAGATTGAAAACCTCGACGCAGGTGCCCGTAGTACGCTAAGCGGAGCAGCAGAAACCTTCCATGAAGTGAGTTGAAAGGTGGGAACCATATTTTATTCATGACTATCATGCCTTTTCCCCGGGCTAGCATTAGCTATGGATCTTGTTTGAATGGGTACTGTGCTGTGCTGTGAGTGTCAAGTTAGACTTGAAGACAACTTGATGAGAAGGGGAGACGGAATAGGGGCGAACAAAGTCAGTTCTATTCTTGTCGTAAGCCATACTATAGTGGATTCGGGATCTTCATTGCAATGATTACCCCCTACCATAGTATAAATAAGTTCTTTGGATTATATCAACACCCTGATCCCTTGCTGGACAACGTAGTTGTATTGCGAGGGTGGAGTGCATAACACTTAGGGGAATGCCGAAGAAAGAATTGGAAGAGAGCCAGTCAGGTCAAGACAAATAGTAATGGCTATATACTGTGAAGCTAATTGTACTCGAGAGTCACTCGGAGCATACGAGAAACGCATGTCCTTGTTGTACCAGAGTGTCGACAATGCGACAGTGGAACTGTTGCCACAAAAGGTTCATGGAGATGTGGAATATGACCAATCCCGACCTGCCAAGGGAGGTGAACCAACACAACAATTCCAATCCGATGGTACTGGCCCCTTAAAGGATGGTTAAGAGGCGTGGGACCTTTCAGCAGCGCCCGTCCAGCGCCAGCTAGACCGAAGTCCAGCCGTCACCGACGAGTGCTGACACAGATAAAAAGACGCCGTTTCTTCATCTTGGATTTAGTTGTGTGAAGAAGAAAAGGAGAGAAAAATTTTGCCGAGCGAAGATAAAGCAACAGCTGGCGCACGGACCAGGCGGAGAGCTCAAACGGGAATAGTGTATTTTTCCCGCTTTCCGCGGGCAACGGAAAGGTCCCCAGTGCTCGTCCGACTACCATCAATCGTTTAAAAGCCGTCGCTTTCCTATCGGCTAAGTACATAATACTCTGCTTGGGAATTGACCTTCTTTAGCTTCATCATGTATTTGTCTCGCTGTGGTAGATCCGCTGCTCGCTTGCTCCCCCTTGGGAGCTCCCGGGCAGCCGTTGTCTCCGCTCGCGCCTCTATCGTGCCCAGATTGGCCCCCCAATCGCGGGGAGTAGCGTCGTCCACTCGTGATACCCAGCACAAGGTTGGTGGCCAGAATCAATTCAATTGCAAGCGGAACATGCAGACTGACCATTTGATAGCTGCTCGCGGCCTCTCTGGAGGAGTCCGACCCCGCCGTGTATAGCATCCTGCAGAAGGTGCGTCATCGCTGATAGAGAGCTCACCAATTGACCGAACAGCTGCTAAAACCCATTCCAGGAGAAAAAACGTCAAAAGCACTTCATTAACCTGATCCCCTCCGAGAACTTCACATCGCAAGCTGTTCTCGATGCCCTAGGCAGTGTTATGCAAAGTATGTACTCCGGGTGACCGCCTCTACTTGTCCGACAGACTATCCTAACCGCAATTCAGACAAATATTCCGAGGGATACCCCGGTGCTCGGTACTATGGAGGAAATGAACACATTGATGCTTCCGAGCGGTTGTGCCAGCAACGTGCCCTAGAGACCTTCCGTCTGGACCCGGCGGAATGGGGAGTGAACGTCCAACGTATGATACAGTCGACATGATACAATGATAGACGCCACGGCTAACTCACTTCAGCTCTGTCCGGTTCACCCGCTAACCTCATGGCCTACTCCGCCCTCCTCAACACTCACGACCGCATCATGGGCTTGGACCTTCCCCACGGCGGTCACCTGTCCCACGGTTATCAGACCCCTACCAAGAAGATTTCCGCCATCTCCAAATACTTCGAGACCTTCCCTTACCGCCTCGATGAGTTGACTGGTCTGATCGACTACGATGCATTGGAGAAGTCCGCCACCCTATACCGGCCCAAGCTGATTATCGCGGGTACCTCGGCCTACAGCCGTCTGATTGACTACCCGCGCATGCGCGCGATTGCCGACTCCGTAGGCGCCTACCTTCTGTCCGATATGGCTCACATCTCGGGTCTTGTGGCTGCCGACGTACTCCCATCTCCCTTCCCCTACTCAGATGTCGTGACCACCACCACTCACAAGTCTCTACGTGGCCCGCGTGGCGCCATGATCTTTTACCGCAAGGGCGTGCGTAGCACCGACAAGAAGGGCAACCCCGTCATGTACGATCTCGAGAACCCCATCAACGCATCCGTCTTCCCCGGCCACCAGGGTGGCCCTCACAACCACACTATCACCGCGCTGGCCGTGGCCCTCAAGCAGGCTCAGACGCCCGACTTCGAGGCCTACCAGAAGACAGTGCTTCTCAACGCCTCTGCTCTAGCCAATCGCCTTGGTGATTCCACCAGCAACGGTGGACTCGGCTACAACATCGTGTCCGGTGGCACCGAAAACCACTTGGTGCTAGTGGACTTGAAGAACCGCGGCGTGGACGGTGCTCGCGTTGAGCGCGTTCTCGAGCTGTGCGGTGTCGCCAGTAACAAGAACACCGTTCCTGGTGACAAGTCCGCTCTCAAGCCCGGCGGTCTGCGTCTCGGAACCCCTGCCATGACCTCCCGTGGCTTCCAGCCTGAGGACTTCACCCGCGTCGCCGATATCGTCGACCGTGCGGTCACCATCACTCAGAAACTGGACAAGGTTGCCCGTGAGTCGGCTCAGTCCCGCGGTGTCAAGAACCCTAATACTGTCAAGGCCTTCTTGGACTACGTGGGTGAGGGCGAGGAGATCTCAGAGATCGTTGTGCTCCGTCAAGAGGTCGAAGACTGGGTAGGTACTTTCAGCTTGCCGTGGGCTGAGGAACAGTAGACGTTTCTTTTTCTTTTTCTTTTTTCTTTTTTCTTTTTGATTCCCTCTATATATATTTCCTTGCATGATTTCGAACGAATATGATTGAAGACCTTTTCATTTGAAGACCAGAAAAAAAAAAAAGCATTGAATTATTATCTAAAGAACAATATCAAAGTAAACTAAAATCCGGTAACACGAGGTGGATTTTACTCCGCAAAGTTTAATTCGAGGACCGTAACCGGGGAACGATATCATTATCTTTCCCCGAGGTCGGCTTGTCAAAGCGAACTCCGCACTGCACCAAGGTACGATATACTGCTTTTCTTTTTTCATATACAGCAAGCCTTTCACCTACAATTATGAAAGTCAGCCAGGTACGAACATGGAATTAAGACAAAGGCGGGAAACGGCATGCTAATCCACTGTCAGCTCTATGTCTACCCGGTTAAATCCCTTCGACCAACTACAATCACAGAGGGAATCCTCACCACACGCGGCTTTCAATATGACCGCCACTTTATGCTACTCAAAGTCATCCCAGCCGAGGATGGCTCCGGCACCATGACCCTGAAGAACATGCATGTCCCGCACTTCCCAGAGATGGCCCTCTTCCACACCGACATCGAGTATCCAGAGACAGAGAAGGACAGCGGGAAATTAATTATCACATACCACCCTCCTCTGTCGGATTTAGGTCCCGAATTCCGCGAAACCAATCGACTGGAAATCCCACTCAAGCCCAACACAAAGAGCCTCAGTCTTCTCAAAGTCATGATGCACAAAAGCCCAACAACAGGATACAATATGGGCGCAGAGTACAATGACTGGTTCAGCGCCTGCTTCGGATACCCCGTAGTGCTAGCCTACCTTGGACCGCACTCGAGAGAGGTGCTTGGCACACTGGCGCCAGGAAAGAAAGAGAAAAAGACCGCGCTGCGCACAATGCGCGAAAGTCTAACGAATCCCGAGAGGAAATGGGAGCGGGTTCTCCCGGTTCTCATTGTCGCCTCCGCGATTAACATACTCCTTCAGGGCGGTACCCTCGTCCGCGACGGGATAACCCCCCAAACAGCTCGTAGTTTCACGCCCACGCTCATTTTCACTGCTGGTGCGGCGGTGTTATATTACTTCTACACTCTGTGCGGACAGAACGAGGACCGTATTACTTTTGCGGATTGCGCGCCTTATCTCGTTATCTCCGAAACATCCGTCGATAATGTCTCAGCGCGGCTTCCGGATGGGGAAAATATGGACCGCACGAAGTTCCGGCCTAATATTGTTGTCTCGGGGGCTGAAGAGGCTTTCGAAGAGGACTTTTGGAGCGCGCTGACTTTGGGAAATGGATTGGGACGTGAGTCGAGTAAGCTGTTGCTGACGGGGAATTGTATACGCTGTCAGAGCCTTAATGTTGATTACGAGACTGGGAAGATGGGGAATGGTGAGTCTGGTACTGTGCTTAAGAAGTTGATGAAGGATCGTCGGGTGGATTCTGGAGCGAAGTTTAGTCCTGTCTTTGGTAGGTATGCTTTCTTGGAGTCGAAGGGTGAGAGGACTAGTCTGAGGGTTGGGGATGAGATTGCGGTTGCCGAGAAAGGAACTAAGAGGTCTATTTTTGGTGAGTATTTCTCCTTTTTTTTTTTTTTTTTTTTTTTTTTTTTGGCGAACTGTGGGAGTGGATGTTAACTGGATTCTCTAGATTGGCCTGGCATGACGAATTGAATATAAATAGGTTTCCTTTCTCTTTTTAGTTCTCTATGTTGTATATTGATATGGATATCGGGGAAATTGACGTCATCTTGAAGATTGGAATTGTTGTATACAAATTTCGGACCAAACTTTTATGCTGGAAGAAATGTGCCTAAGTTGCCAGACTCTCGATATCCAACTATATATGTACAACATACATCGTAGCTGAAACCCGAGTGAGAAGTATACGAAATTACAATTCAATTGGTAGATAATCACACAGCCACAGTTACGTCATCTACAAGCACCGCCACTGGTTGCCCCAGAAAGTCACCTGACTTTCATGAACCATGGAAAGGCAATGGATTCGACTTCTAAGAATAACTTTGGAACTTTGAACTTTGTAATCAACTTTGAACGACAAGTTTCGTTCTTCCCTTGCATTTCATTGACTTGTGCAACTCCATCTTATACATTTGCGTGGTGGCCAAGCTAAGTCCAGCCTTATCGAACTATTCAGGGACTGTGTGGCTCACGCCCCTCCAATCATCACTCATACGCCGCTGCCTATTCGGAGTCTCTCACGTTCACCTGTCACGCACCCAACCAGAGCTGCATTCGACTTGTGTTCCACCTGTGTGACGCTTCTACCTCTTTTCCAAGACCTCATCAGTCAGGCGCCAACCATCCCGCGACCCGGTGCATAAGGCATTGCTGAGCCCCGCCGCGGGTAAGCTGCCGCAGCAGGAAAAAAAAAAAATAGCGATCGTAATCGTTCCAAAACATAACTGTTACAATCGCCATGGATCCAGCCAATCTGCGCCGCAAGGACACCACCAAGGGTCCTCCACTGCGGATCCTATCTTTAGGTTAGTATTATCCCTCTTTCCGGCGTATATCAGACTCAGCTGACCTGAACCAGATGGCGGTGGTGTTCGTGGCTACTCTATGCTTATTCTCCTCCAGGAACTCATGTACCGCACCTATGTCGAATGCGAAGGCAAGCCCCCGCGTCGCGACCAGATTCCCAAACCTTGCGATCACTTCGACTTGATCGCCGGTACCGGCACTGGCGGCTTGATCGCTCTGATGCTCGGTCGCCTCCGCTTGGATCTTGAGACTTGCAAAGAAGTATACGTGCGTATGACTCGCAAAGTATTTGAGACCGACAAGACCATCGCTGGTATTCCCTACCGTTCGACTTTGTTCAAGGCCTCGAAGCTCGAGGAGGCGATCCGGGAATGTGTACGGGAACATACAGTGTCCGAGGCGGAGGGAAACGACACGGGGAATGCCCCCAATCGTGATTCGATGGCTTCTATGGCAAGCTTGCCATATAGCCCAGCCTCTATTCCGCAACGATCTATCAGTCGGGGCAGTTTCAGCACCGCTGCTGCTTCGCATCCAATGTCCCCTACAAGTCAAAGAGGCTCCATTTTCCTTAATGGGTTGCGTTGGGGTAGCCCAGACGCGCTGCTTTATGACAATCGAGAACATCGGACAAAAACGTGGGTTTTACAATGCGAAACTATATGTCGCTGGTACTGATATGAAATATAGTGCGGTCACTGCTATGTACAAGGGGACCCCACGCAAAGGATCGGCTGTTCTTCTACGATCCTACGACTCCCGCCGAGAACCTCCACCAGAATTCGACTGCACTATCTGGCAAGCAGGACGTGCGACATCTGCGACGGGGCTTGCTTTCAAACCCATTCAGATTGGTCAACACCATTTTATTGATGAGGGCCATGGAACATTCAACCCCGCGCCGCTGGTCCTTGATGAGGCTGTTGTAAATGAGTGGCCAGGTCGAGAAGTTGGGGTCTTTATCAGTGTGGGAACTGGAAAGCGCCCATCTGGTACCAATAACCGACAGCATGAATGGTGGGAGGATTTCTTCGGCGACTCATTCGGCACATTCGCTGAGGCGCGGCGTCGACTGATGACGAAGATTGAGGGCTGTGAGGATATCCACAACGATATGCTTCGAGACCGTCTTGCCAAACGCAATGTCAGCAAAGACAATTATTTCCGCCTCAACGTTGAGGTCGGCGTTGGCGAGTTTGGTATGAACGAATGGAACCGGCTAGCCGATATCAGCACCAACACACGGCAGTATCTGGCCAGGCCTGAAGTGAAGAAGATGATTCTAGAAGCGGGTGTGAGATTTGCTAAAATTGATCGCATGAACCGCCGTCTGGCGAGCCACGCTGCAGCTGGCGGGGATCGCGATGATCTATCCTTCGATCTTGCGACTGAAGAACTTTCGCTTTCTCCTCCCGTTCAATCACACCTTCCACCCCCTGCGCACTTCGCTGTCGAATTACCTGCAGAACTACCTGCTGAGTTTTTACACCACGCTCCACCCTCACAAGCGCCGCCACCTATTCCAACCGTGGTGACTACATCACCACCGGATGACACACTCCCGATTCACCCAACACCTCAGGATAGTATATCTACTTCTCCACCCCGGCAATCTGGCAGTGACTATCGTCGAAGCCATGAGCTTGCAAGCCGCCCAAGCTCGCAACAACAGAGCTCGCCTACCCGTAGTGATGAATATTTCACAACCTTCAATGGCATGCCACCAGCACCGCCAGTGCCACCCAAGACGCCCATCCCATACCCAGCTCAAGAAGACGATGGTGGTGTGGCTATGCCTGCACCACTATTCTCCCAAGCACCATCGTCTAGTTCGAACACCAAAGTCCGACCTCCTTACCCAGTTGATGAGCCGCCACCAACGGTGAACCGGCAACGAAAGCCTAGCTATCATGTGCGGTGATCCCTTCTCATGTGCTTTCATCTCGAGGCGCTTTTTTCCTTTCCTTTTTTACATGTGTACTACGTTGTTTTTGTGTCTTTTCTGCTGAATACCCCTCTATTGAGACGGTTTATTAGGGCTGAGAGGGTGTCTTGGGCGCATGCAATTCTATTTAAGGGGGTTTTTATCTTAGTTGACCCCCTACGAACGATGGCCAGCGCTGGCCTCGTTGGGCATAATGAATGATGACATTTATGAGACACCAAATGTGGGAACTGATGCTCTGTATAGTAATTATGTGAGACAAAAAAAAGTATGGCATTTCTATATTAGGCATCCATGTAAAATGTACGAAGTATGGAGTACTTTGTACTCCGTAGGGGCAAATAGATTGCTTGTTGATCTTAATATACTCCTTATACTTCGTATATATTGTATATACACGGAGTATATTGTATTTCCAAAGACAGCCTAATGCACCATCTCCATAGGCTAAGCAATATAGGTCGATGCCAAAACCTTAGAAAGTACAGGTACCTGCCGATCATAGTCCAGCCCGCTCTATTCAGGAGTACCAGTACCTCCTTTTCCACACCCCCAGCCTCTTTGTTTTGTATCTTGATCCCCTTCCCCTTTTCTTTTTATTTCTTTTTATTTCTTTAATGATTTTGTACTTTATTTTCTTTTCTTTTCAATTCTTCAACTCCTGAATTCTTTGTCTTAAGTAGATTCTACTTCCTTGCTACTCTAAAAATCGTATCTTTGCCCATCTGAGACCAAAAGTCATAGCGCCCAACGGCTGACGTGCGCCCCTTGCGGAATCCCACATTTTTCCTTTCCTCGTGGACATTTTCCAGAAGCATTCCAAGAACGATAATATTCCAAATTACAACTACTCCTCTGTTACGACAGTCGGACTCGAAACCGTTGTTGACGCAGGCCCCTCGTTGATAGTCGCCCCGGCGATACGCCCCAGCCTTTATCGATATCGTGGCAGCGTCAAGGGTTTCAAATAGTCGCTGAGTCTCGTCTTCGGACGACTCTCTGTCCCCGCGACACAACTCTTCGCCCTCTTCCCACTGCTGGTCAGTGTGGTTCCAATCTCTAATTCCAACAATCATGGATCCCAATTCCGCCTTATCGCATGCGAACAACCTCGTCGCCCGCGCGGAATCCTCAGGCCGCCCACCGGTGTACAAGGCCGTCGGTATTTCGCTGGCTGTCGCATCGGGTGTTTTCATCGGTATCTCGTTCGTGGTTAAGAAAATCGGACTGCTGAAGGCGAACGTGAAGTACAATGAGGAGGCCGGCGAGGGGTATGGATATCTCAAGAATTTTTGGTGGTGGACTGGCATGACGCTGATGATTGTTGGGGAGATCTGCAATTTTGTGGCGTATGCTTTCGTCGATGCGATCTTGGTTACGCCTCTTGGTGCGCTGTCGGTTGTGATTACGACGGTTCTGTCGGCGATTTTCCTCAAGGAACGGCTTAGTTTCGTGGGGAAGGTTGGCTGTTTCTGTTGTATTATTGGATCGGTGACTATTGCTATGAATGCCCCTGAGCAGTCGTCTGTCAAGGATATTGAGGGCATGCAGCATTTTGTTATTCAGCCTGGATTTCTGGTCTATGCTGGGTTGATCATTGTTGGAGCTGCTTTTACGGCTCTTTGGGCTGGTCCACGTTATGGAAAGTCGAGCATGTTTGTTTATATCAGTATTTGCAGCATGGTTGGTGGATTAAGTGTCGTTGCTACCCAGGGCTTGGGCTCTGCTATTCTCGCTCAGATTAATGGCGAGGAGCAGTTCAAGCATTGGTTCCTATATGTCTTGCTTGTGTTTGTCATCGGGACACTATTGACAGAGATTATTTATCTCAATGTACGATCTTCAACCTCGTGTCTTATGGCTGTGCTAACCTTGCTATACAGAAAGCGCTTAATCTTTTCAATGCCGCTCTGGTCACCCCGACTTACTATGTGATGTTCACTAGTGCCACCATTATCACGTCCGCCATTCTATTCCAGGGCTTCAAGGGCACAGGAATCCAGATTGCAACTGTCATCATTGGGTTCATGCAAATCTGCGCCGGTGTGGTGTTACTGCAGCTATCCAAGTCCGCCAAGGATGTCCCCGATGCTGCTATATTCAAGGGCGATCTGGATCAGATTCGAGAGGTTGCCGAGGTAGAAGAGCCGGAATCCGAGCCCAAGGCGGACTCCATTCGTGGTGCGGCCTCTATCATCCGTCGTATTTCGACTGCTCGCCGCACTATGGAAACAGATGAAGCCCGCCGTTTCTTCCATGACAAGCATGAGGATACCCTGAAAGTGCCAGCCGAGAACGAGATAATTGAATGGGATGGCCTGCGTCGGCGCAAGACTGTCGTTGGCGAGGGACCAACCATGTCACGACCTATCACTCCGCGGTCTCCCTCGGTCAAGCAACAACATCCGCCGTGGGGCATGTCCCGGTTGCCTGATGGGCATGAGGACGATCACCGACCTAGCACCAAGCAAAGCAGTCATTCTTTCATGGATACCATTCGATCTCGGGCTACCAGCGTGCTCCATCCTTCCCAGTGGAGGGCCGTGAATACAGAAGATGAGAAAAGTTCTAACGTCAATACACAATCAATGGGAATGACAGACATGCCACACCAAAGTGGCAATGCTGACACGGAATACCATGGTGCCGGTATGGCTGGAGGTTTGGATGCTCCGTTCAACGCAAACCGTCCGCGTAGCGATACACCACGGTCTATATCATGGGCAGACGAAAAACCCGATTCCTTGACACCCGACCTTCTCGCCAACGCCACCCGCCGCCAGTTTTCTTTCAACAATATGATGGGCCGTACGAAGACCGACAGCGAGTCTTCCGTCAAACCCACACCAGGTTCGCCCCGTGGAATCCTACGCCGAACGCACCTGGCAGCCGATATGCGCAAGTCCGCAACTGAGGAAGAATCACTCGGTCTTGTCCACGGCGACTCACGCCATTCCCAACCGGAAGAAGAACCTCTAAACGAAAAGCTAGACCGCTGGTCGAGTGCCGAGTCAGAACTTGGCGAGCCCCAGCCCAGGTTCGCAGGGCGACCACACGGCAACTCCGTGTCCAGCAACCAGACGGCCGCATTCCCCGCCTACGAGGATAATCACGACGACTACTCCGAATCCAACAACCCCTACTACCTCCCGCACAACCGACAAACCACCTTATCCCCAGAGCCCCTTACCCACGAAGAAGACGGATGGAGACACCCTTCATCGAGAGACAGTGGTAGCAGAACTCGCACACGGACAACCTCTTCTGTCAATGCCCATTCTCGCGCTCCACCCCCGGCCCAATCTTCCTTCTCTACCCACCGCTATCCAAACCCCCTCCCGCCACTCCCTGACATCACACCTACCGCCACCCTCGATCTCATGCCCACCACAACCAATGCCTCGGGTCTCAGATCAGTTTCTTCGGACTCTGATATGGTAGCGACTCTCTCGAGAGAGACAGGAGGCCACAATGAACCCCCACCTATCTACCCGACCCGCCAACAGAGCGGCTGGCGTCGACATCTGTCTGACAATAGTAGCCACGATGGTGAGACATATGCTACGCGCGGAGGTAGGGGAAGTTCGTTCAGGCGAATGTGAGGAATCTTCGTTATCTATCTGGCCTATACCTGCTGCCATCCTGGGATTCTGATTTATGACACATCTATCCCTGTTTTCTTTCTCGCATAGTATTTTGCATGGCTATGGGCGTTTGTTGGAGGATTTTGTTGATATTCTTTTTCTGATTTTGTGTTATGTGATTGAACCTGGTTTTAATGCCGGTCTGTACATGTACATGCACATGCACATGTGATTTTGATTTGGTTCTGTGTATAATGGATGTTATGATAATGGTGCACGACTGATTAATGAAATGAGAACTTCCAGGTATAAGTGTCTACTCGATATTAGAAATTAGAGTACTAGAAGTCGACGTTCTATCATAAGTTATCGACGACGGCAGTGCATTAGTCAATTGAAGGACTGACTATTCATAGTCATGACAATCAGATTCAATTCGATATGATCATAGATCATTGGGTATCATAAGAGGATGTAGTTGGAAGATTCATCATTCCAACCCAAAGATTGACGCAAAACCACTCTATCCAGTCTATCCAGAACGCCATCCATCACAAAATGTCACATGCAAGCAATGCAATGCAAACAAAAACACGCAAGTCGCTAAATGTCAACCATATCTATGCAAAAGCTCACTTCTTTAACCCCTGCACACCAAACATCCCAGCAACACTCTGCTGCCCCTTGGCCGCAACATGCATACCAGGGAACCGGGACTCGGCAAGACGACGTCCAGCTTTGATACTTTCTAGAGCCCTAGTGATAGCAAGGTCAATGTCAGAAAAGATCACTCGCTGGTCATCCAACAGCATCATAATAGTACATACCAGTCGGCACTAACAACCTTCACACCTTTCCACCCTCCACGGGCAATTTCCTGCTGGAGTTTACTGGCAGCAAGACCTCCCCCCTGCACCAGACACAGTTGTTCCACTCCCACTTCCACTTCCACTCCCCGTATTGGGTTGTCCGACGAGAATATGCGTCACTGTCTTCCGAGCCATGTAGATAGAAATCTTCGCCCCGTTTGAAGCAAGCAGATGTTTAAGTTTGTACTCGGAGATCCGGGGGAGCGTGGAGCCATTAATGAAGATCGTAACACCGGCGAAGATACTCGAAGTTGATTTCAGGTCGAGGATGGTTCCAGAAGGAGAGTCGTGTTGTGGTTTGTCTTCTATTTGAGACTTTTCTTTTTCCTTTTCCGTTTCCGTTTCCGTTTCCATATCCTGTTTCGTTCCACCCCGAGCCGGACTCAAACTCCGCCCCGCTCCACCAACAGTCCTAATCCTCTTCATCTCGATCTTAGTATCCTTCTCAAGCTCATCAACAGCCTTCCTCTTGCTAACACCCATAAACGACCGAATATCCCGAACACCGAGTTCATTCCGCTTCGCCACATCCCCGGCTACCATAGCCCATTCACCGGAAGCCGGTATCGCAGGCGGTGATTGTGATGTGTATTTCCCATTGAATGCACCTGGCACGAGTGTGGAGTCTTTTGTTGCTTTGTCCCCAACTCCCACTCCCTTTCCCACTCCTACTCCCACTCCAACTCCAGCTCCATTTCCCCGTGCTGGAAGACAATCCCCGCTTTGATATTGCTTGGTTAATTTCGCCGAGCGTGCATCTCGCCATGATGTCGAGCCGAGAAAACCACCGCCTTCGGCTGCGCGTTGGTGGCCTGTTGAGGCTGATTGCCAGTGGTCGAAATAGAGGTGGTTTCGGGGTTCTGGGGGTTGTGGTTTTGTGGTTGGTTTTGGTTTGTCGGTTGTCATGGTTGGGGTTGTAGTGGGGTTGTAGCAGGGGTTCCCATTCGTTAGTTGAGTGGTGTGTTGGTTGTCGTGAGGTTTTGGAGGATGTAGTGTTGTTGAAGTTTGAAATTTGGAAGTCGCCGTGGCGTGAAGCGAAAGGAACCATGGTTCAACCTGTGTTTTGATTTTGCTGTTTTGGGTTAGATAGGGTAGATCAGGTCACGTGGTTGTGGTATGTGGCTAATGTAGAAGTACACCTGATGAAGTCAAGGAATGAAACGAAATAACCAAAGCTACTATGAAAACAATTTCAATAAGACAAGAAAAGGCTCAGTAAGCTACAATCTACATTCATATCTACAAGCTATACAAAAGCAGTGGGAAAAAGAACAATCCATTTAGACCGGACAAAACCAACGTTGTATGTCGCTAAAGGCATGCAGACCCAGAGTTCATAACCTTTCATTACCATGATAATCATCTCTCTAATAGAGTGGCAGTAGCAATAGCAGAAGCAGTAGCAGCGCAGAGACGTAGAGAGGGGAGTAAAACCAAAGCCAAGGCCATGCCACAAAAGAATATCCTTTTCAAAACCCAACGCATAAATGATAAAGCAATGATAAATAAAAAAAAAAAAAAAGAAAAAGAAAAGATAGCAACTCGTTAATGAAGATGGCTCGTGGTCAAGTCATCACACAAAGAAAATTCGTTCATAAGAGATTCGTCACATCGTAGTCATCGAGGTTTGCGATCACCATCCAAGTCTTCAACAAGTGGGAAGTTCTGTCAACATGAAAGTATCAAGAAAGGTTTCTCTAATGTTGGACCATGAACAGATCTTGCGCCTAGTTCTTCCCCTCTTCCCCACACACAACAAGTTAGATATTCTCGGAAACAGCCAAGATTTCTTGAACTTGAAAACACAAAACGCAGAGAGACAAATGAGCTTCGTTTCGTTTCGACACCGTCGGGTCTGCTAGTCTCCGTCTTCACATGTGTGTGGTAAGACATAGACGAGACCACGACGCGCCATGCGGGTTGTTGCATGCGCAGTCTATCATGAAAAACAAACTCCTCCCGAGAAATAGAACCAACAGAAAAAATAAATAAAAAAGATCCCAGTAAAAAATAAAGCAAAAATAAGCAAAAGACCCGAACAAAAACTCAAAAAGAACCAGAACCACAAGCTGAAAGCTAACTAGAAACCACAATTGAATCACACACTCACCGATGGCGAGCCATGACCGCGCTAGGCTTCATCGGCTGAAGAATAGGCGGGCCACCGACCGGACCACCAAGCGGACCACCAAGGGTAGTATCGGTGATGGTCTTACGGCGCTTCGAAGTCTCGTACTCAGTGGTACTCTCAGGAGGGCGGATATCGTCATCCTCGCGCATGCGCTTGCTGCCCGCACTCAACGAGCCATTCCCAGTCGCGTAGACTGGGGCCGTGGTCGAGGCCATGGAGTAAGGGTCCGAAGCACCGTTGACCGGGGTACCGCGCGTATCGCTGACAGCGTTGTACAGGGTAGTGGCGGCGGCGGGACGGGGGGGAGTGTTATACCCCGAAGCCCAGTGAGGAGGGGGGCCGGCGCCCGTGCGCGGAGTCATGCGACCGGAGCCGTTTTGCTGGCTCGGGGATCTGGTCATTTCCGGGGTGAGCTGGGAGTGATCGCCGGTCAGCGAGCTGACGGAAGGATTTGTGGTGTAGGTGTAGGAGCCGCGGTTAGAGTTGTACCCGGCGTTGTGGTCCGGCATGTACTCCTGTTCGTGCTCAGAGACGGTCTCGCCGGGTCCATTACTCTGGCTGTAGCGGTTGGGGTCGCGCTCGGAGGTTTCGGGCTCTGAGGCGCCGGGTCGTGGGTCTGGTGGCGCCATTTCGCTTTTCATGTATCCGCCGGGCAGGGGTTGGCCGTAGCTGGACATCCCTGAATTGGTCAATGGAGTGTGTGGCGTGTATTGGGCGTGCGTTTGTGGTGCCGCGGAGTAGTACGGCTTGGAGCTGTCGTAGGGTTGACTTTGATAGGCTGGCAAGCCATGCATGTTGTTACCCGGTGGGGTGGTTGCGGGGGTGGTTGGCATTGAGCGCTGGTTGCTCAATGTGGTGTCGATGGACAAGTCCCCCACACGCAGCGCTTGTCCGCCCCATTCATATGAGCTGCCTTGGTTGTTGACGCCCATCAGGCTGGATGCGCTGGCGGGTGGCGTGGGAAAGGTGTTGGCACGCTCGAGGGCTGGTCTGGAGCCAGGCTGGCCACTCATGGGGGCTTGGGACATGTGAGAGGACATGGGAGTCTGAAGGGAGGGGTGGTGATGGTGAATTGGGGGTTGCTGAGAGCCAGACGGCGTGCGCTGGGGACCCGGAGGAGGGCCTTCCAAACGTCGTTGCTGGGACTCTTGCACTACCATGTTTGTCCGAGTCTGGTTGGCTGGGTGGTATAGCAGACCACCGATATTATGCACAAACAGTGGGTACAAGAGATCGGTGATCTTCTCCTTGTTGGCAAATTCCAGAGCACGCTCGAATGGGATCCTGAAGAGTAAAAGAGTTAGGGACTGATGCTGCATACGCTGTGTGGGATGAAAATACATACCAGACACCTTTCAAATGCATCGGGCCAATTTTCACAACATGGCGAAGCTTTTCACTTTTGAGAATTCCATCACGTCGACCACGGGTCATGCCAGCTACATTGAGCAGCTTTGTACCATTGATCATGTGGTTGTCTGCGAAAGAAAAAGAAAAAGTTAGTCAAAAAAAAGATATTCCCAATCAACCTTTTCCTATAGAACGAACTTACCTTCTCGTCGAGCTACACACACTCCCTTCGCTTCTACCTGATAGCAGAGACTCCCTTCATCTTCCCATAAAGTGGCTGTCACTCGCGGCTTTGCTCCCGGAGGAGCCACTTGACCGGTACCATCAAAGACGAACCCTTGTAGCGGAGCCCCGGTGTTGTTCCCATATCCGCTTGGAGGAGCGGCGTGATTGCTCACTTGATAACGATCAGAATAATCATCGATTACATTCTGGCTTTGGAGCTTACCCGGCAACGGCAGCAACTGAGCTGGCATCTGGCCACCCATTGAGCTTGGTGGGTGTCCCGTTGGGGGTGAAGTGACCCCAGGGGCATATCCATATTGGGGGTAAGCAGCCGGGGCGTAAGAAGATGCAGGTTGCATCACAGGGGGTTGCCCATGGTACTGGTAGTGGGACATTGAGCCTGCGGTAGCGCCTTGAGGAGCGTATGACTGAGCAGAAGACATGTGCGAGTGGACGTCCATGTATGGCTGGGTCTGGTTCATGCTGCCGAGAGAAGTCGGACTCGGATAGTACCCTTCGTTGACCGAGGGGGGAGACTGTATTCAGTCGGGGCAGAAGAATCTAATGAAAGTCGACCCTGGGTCCCAGATAGGTCCGCAGAGGACGGGGGACTCCTCGGTTCGTTGACAGGCACTGAAGCACCGGAAAGACTTGTACGTGCACTAGAATTGGTGGAATTGGTCAGGGACGGATCGTGGTAGGCGGTCCGGGAGAGACCCTGAGTGGCTGTCGGCAGGCTGAGGGCGGGGAGTTTGTCGCCGGGCAATAACGGTCGTTCGGCCGCGTGATGGTTGTACCAGGGGATGTCAGCAGGACCGCGGGTATGGACCTGCGATATCGATGGCAGCTCCAGCTTTTCGGTTGCAGGGATAAACGGTTTAGAATAGAGGAATGAAACGAGCAGCGGACGTAAATGTCGTCCGGCGTGCTATCAATATAGGCTGCAGAATCCTTGGAAAAAAACCACAGGAACTTGCGAACGTTGCACGGAACAAAAAATAAGAAGAAAGAGAAAGAGTTGCAAACGAAATCTTCAACTGGGCTTTCAAGATCAAACGTTTGGAGATAGGAGGGCAAATATAGCAAAGTAATGCAAGATGCAGGCGATGCAGGGACGTGCAATTATCGTAGTGAAGCTTCGTAGTAAGTCGTAAACCTTTTGTAAAGACTTGGGCCTAAACAGAAGCGCAATAAAGACTTTTTTTTTTGCAAAAGTAGACGAATTCAGAGAAGCACAATGGTCATCAGGATCATTAACAATCGTCGAACAACATCAAAGTTCGGAAGCTTGGGACACTAAAACAAAAAAAAAAGAAAAGCGTAAGTTTTGTGATCGTTTCAAGGTCATGCAGGAATCATGTCATTGAAGAAGAAACTCTTTTTTTAAAAAGAAAAATGGAGCGCAATGAATGATAAAATAAGGCCGAAGCCGGATGAAGGTAGGGGGGAAGGGAAAGGTTAAAGTCTCAGACAGTCGAGGGTTGGGGGGTGGTTGAGAAAAGAAGTTAGACGTACAGAAAGGTGGAGGCTGGGGTGGTGCAGCAAACGCATCCCTATGCACTGCAGGCTGGAGAGATGGCGTTTGAAAAACAAAAGCCAAAACAGAAAAAGATATAAACGATAAAGTAAAACAATAAACACAAATAAACACACAAAAATAAATAGGGCAAAAAAAAAAGGAAAAGAGAAAAAAAGGACTCTTTAAAAATAAAAGGAAATCGTACAGTGAAACTTAAGCACAGCGGTTAAGAGAGGGGAAAAAAAGAGGTGAAGCGAAATGACGCTGAGCCGCAGCGGGAAAGTCGATCAGTGGAGGATAAAGAAGAAGAAGCTGACTAAGGGGGTCGATTTTAAGAGAAAGAGAAGAATATTGTCTGCAGAAATCCCGGCTTGCCCCGTCTTTTGAGGGAGAAGAAGAGAAATCGAAAAAGAGAAAGAGAGAGAGAGAGAGTCCATCGAATCAATCACAGTGGACCCGGTGGAGAGAGAGAAAGAGAGAGAGAGTGACTACCAGAACCGTGCGTTCAGATCATCCTCTAGACTCGATATCTGCTGTTTTTTTTTTTTTTTTTTTCCTTTTTTATTCCTTTTTTATTCCTTTTTCCTTTTTCTTTTTTCTATTATTTTCTTTTTCTCTTTTTCTTTTCTTTTTAAGGGAAATATTCATAATTATTATTCTACGCCACCAAGTAAGGACCGGATCAGAGTTAAAGTGTCAAGGTAAATCATTTCCCTTGGTATTAACCAGGTTGACTAATATGAACTAGCATTACCCAATTTGTAAGGAACATCATATCTCCCAAACTGCAGGGACAAATTCAAAGAGAAAATATTCCCAGCTGAGGATCCTGGTCTGTGTGACAGACAGTAAAAGCAACATGTTGATCGGCCGGGATAGGCCCGCTGGATCTGGGAGTTGATTCCCTTAGTGGAGTCAACCGATCAGATTCAATTAATTGATTACTTTGGGATGACGGTTACTCTAGACTCTAGATACTATTTCTAGCTCGACAACACCAGATTAGAATCCATTCTTGTAGGACTATATACCCATATAGTCCTATAATTCTATCATCCTATATATAAAGTAGTCCTGTTTCATAAAATGATAACCACCTTAGACACTGCAGAAATAGCTGAGACGGTTCGTCTCCACGCGCGCGGGTCCCACTCCAGTGAACCATGGATGGGAAACCGGGGGAGGAACGGGGGAAATACATCCACGGTTGAAACGTTGAATGAGCGAAACCATGGTTAAGATACTATAATTATCCCTAACAATACAGTACCTACCTAGGTAGATACTATAACTAGTGTGCATTACTAGTACGGAAGACAGTTGGAAATTCAAATCTCCCGACATCTCTTTCATCGTGCAAGACATCTGTCAGCGACTGCAGAGAGAGAGGGGAAAAACTAAAATAATAAAATAAAATAAAAAATAAAAAAACCCCCCGGCAATGCGCGGCGGCTGCACCGTCGATTGCGGATTGCACTCTCCCGCTTCTGGATTCAGCGCTTGCACCATTTCCCCTCTATTTGGGGCATAGTACAAACTAACACCTGCAAGGTCCGTCTTAAAGAAACGGCTAATATCAATCCCAGCGCCAAAAAAAAAACCCCCCCATTCAAAAATCATTCAAACCGTTCACCGGACATCGGCCGAGCCTGGTCCCCTCTCGGATACCTTACTATTAGAGGTGACCACCGGTCGATCGCCCCCTCCTCCATTCAAAGACCTATGGACCACTGCAATGCTATCTAATTACAATTATTTTATAAGCCAAGAAACAATCATACCAAGGCCTTGTTTTCTTTTTTATGGTTCGGGACGATCTGGGCGTTAAGACGGGCCGTGAGTAACAGTGGAGAGAGAAAGAGGAAAGAAGCACGTCACACCCCAGGGATGCAGAGGGGAAAATCAGTGGCTCAGAAGGAACCACGAAACACGGGTGGCTTAAAGTCGATCAAGGGTCTGTTCTCTCTTTCTCTCTCCAATCCCTCCAATCCCTGTCAAGTACGAAGAGACCAGTCAGAGAGGCTAGGCGATTACCGAAAGAGTGAGAAAATTAGGGAGGAAAAAGTAAAAAAAAAAAAAAACACAAATGGAAGGAAAAAATGGAAGGAAAAAAAAAAAAGAAATTGAGAGAGCTTTTAGTCTAGATTTGTTCACCCGATTTTAGCCCGAATTGAAATGAGATATTCATACTCCGTACGTAGCATCGTAATCTCAACTGAGAGACCCCGTGATGATGCATCCAGAAACTCCTCTTTTCTTTTCTTGTTTTCTTTGGACTGTTATGGACGTAGATGATCTGAATGCCCAATAGAGTCTGGAATGGGTTCATTGGTCTAACATTGGTCCTTAATAGTCAGGATAGCCGGGGTAATAATCCTCCCAAGATAATAATAGCAAATACGGAGTACATGAATAATAACATGAATATTTGGTTGATTTTCCCATTTTATTTCCCCCATATTTTTCCAGGATATACCCAACAAGAAAGGAAAAAGCCCAGAGCCAGATCCCAGTAAGGGGGGAAGAGTAAAAGAGACACTGAACATCAAGCCAACTCGACCCCAGTACACCGCTAATTTCTTCCTGGGAAAAATAAGACCATACAACATAAACCCAGGTGAAAAAGGGCAGGGCCAAAGTCCCCTTGCGTTTATTCCTTTTTATTATTATTATTCTATATTATTATTACGGAGTACAACATAGGTACCTATGTATTCCCCACTAACAGACTAGACTACTTACGGACTTGATTTCCAAGCCGAATATCTCGGTTCAAGCTTGACAGATGTCAATTCCCACGCATTCCGTTAAAAAAATATATAAAAAAAAAAAAAACCAAAATTGACAACTAGGGATTCACTGATTACTATTACTATGTTGTATTATTTTTTTATTTTTTTCAGTCCTACCCTAATAAGCATTGACCATCCATCTAGATTCAATGGTTAATTTATGCGATTTCGGGGAGATCATGATCGGAATACGATTTCCATTTCCAAGAGTACAGAGAGTATTTGCATTTGAAGCAAGTGGCGTCTCCCACACAGACCCTTGAGAGGTCGGTGAACATGGGGCCGGGAAAATACGGGCCAGATCGAATTTGGATAATCTTCAATGCCATTATTATTGATTTTAATTTATATATTTGGGATGAATCCTTGGCAAAGTTCTCTAGTCTCATGATTATTCGGGGAACGGGGTAAGAATTCCTATTTTCTCACTTCATACAGACGTTTAGTTCGGGGGGTCAGACAACGAAAGCAGGTACTAACCAGCTTAGTACACTAGGCCCAGAGAGCTCCGGGAAAATTAAAAAAAAAAAAAAAAAAAAGATGAAAGAGAAAGAGAGGGGGAGCACTGACAGATCCCTGCACCGCAGCTCGCTATCGACGGCCCGATACCCGCTGCACATACAGCGTACAGTAGTTTAGGGGGGGCCATGGGGGGAGGGATCCGCCTGAATCGACACACCATTTCCTTGCTGGAAAAGGAAATAGCCTTGAGGATTTGAAGGCTGAATGATTGAGGAAATATTGAAATGAGGGAGTGGGCCAAAACTCGGATGTGGCTTTTTCATTAATATTCTTCATTATTTTTTATTCTGTTTTCTCCCCGATAGAAATGAACAAATGGAGAGAATACTATTATTCAAAACCAGCTCAAATGAAAGATCCACTATCAATCCACCCAGTTATTGGTACGGCAACTCCGCAATTCGGGTGTGATGCATCGTATCGAACCGTTGAGCCGAAAAAATGTAAGGAGATGACCTGCTCTTATATATGATAGGTATACCTAGGAGTAGCAATAATATGAATATCCAGTATTTGAAATATGTCATTGACTTCGCTGGACGGAGTCGTAAATTAACTCTGTACTCTGTAGTAGGAAATCAAATACAACAATAATTGAGTCAATTTCGTTTACTGATCGTCCCTCCGGGGTTTTCCGTGTATCAACTCG